CCGCAGCCGACGATGACGGAACGGAGACGCTCCCGGATGAACTCCCGGATTTTGACCTTGTGCAGAATGTCCATTTCATCCCAGGTGCGACGACGCTCGTTCTCGGGCGGTTCGTGCTCGTCGCCGGCGGCCGTCTGGGCGTTGTTCCAGTAGATGAGGTAGTCGCCGCCGCGAGGGTCGTCGGGGTTCGCGCCACCGGCGTCTTCGGAAAGCTCGGTTACGATGTCGGTCCACATGGTCATGTAGGACTGGAGGTTGTTGAGGAGGTAAGTCGGGGGCTGGGAATCGGGCCCATTCAGGGTGAGAAGTTGGGTGAGGGCGAGGGCGTGGAGTTTCTTCTGGGTGCTGCTACCGATGTTGTCGTAGTGGAGGAACCACTCCGTCAAGATCCAGGTGAGAGCTTGCTCCTCTGAAGTGTTGGTGGCAGAGGCTACGGCGGAAGTAAAGATCTTGGGGTGGGCCACGGCGAGACGTGCAAGGACAGAGAAATAGTCCGTCTCCACAACTCCATAGACGGAGGTCTGTTTGCGGTTGGGTCCCGTGCTTTGACTGGCCTCGTAGGCAGAGTGAAGTCCCTCCAGGAGGGCAGGAAGGAAGGAACTGTCGAGGAGGGAACGGGTGATCACGTTGTAGGTGCTCTCGCTACCGCCATCTACCGCTTCGGCGCCACGGAGCATCAGTTCCACGAGACGGGGTACAACGCCCAACCGCTGGCGAGTGGTGATTTTCAGAAGGGTCTCGAGGGAGACGAGTAGTGGGAAGCGAATCCGATCGCTGAGAATCTCCTGAGGGGCGAGGATAATGTAGGATTCAACAATCTGGAGGGCTTGTGGGGCGCTATCCGTGGCTGCCTCCATGATGGGCATAAGGGCTGGAATGAGGGACAAGATCTCTGGAGAAGCCGGGGAGGGTGTTTGCATGAGGATCGCAGACCAGAGGTCGAGAGCTTCGTCGAGAAGGTAAATGAGGGTCTCCTGTAGGACCATGAGCATTGAAAACTGGCTCGGTGGGATTTGAAACTTACAGAGCCTGGCTCGACAGAGTTCTGGATTAGAGGCAAGATGATTGAGTGATATCGAACTGAGTCTTGCTTGAGGGAATGGATGAGAGACGAGAGAAGAGTGAGGATGGCTTGCTTCATCAGGTGTTCTTCTCCAGAGCTCTCCCAAAGAGGGGGCAACAAAGACAGGATTTGGTCCGAGAAGGGAGCAATCTGGGTAAGGTCAGAATCGATTGCTGTTTACTTAGACCTGTTGATGCACTTACATGATCTTCCATCTTGACCACAGCCATACGAACAGTATCGAGTAGGCCCATCCTAGTCTCTGAGAGCTCCACTTCTTGAACAAGAGACATCAGGTCTTGGAGGATCGACGGAGCATATGGTAAGAATTCAGTTGGTGAGAACTCAAAAGGATCGAGCACATTTTTCAGCTGTCTACCAGCACTGATGCGTACAACCAGGTCATTCAACGGGTCTTTCCGACTGAGCAGATGCTGAAATATTTGATACACGGCATTTCGGTTGAGCTCGCTCGCCTTTATTGGAACCCACTGGCCCAGGAGAATAGCGATCCTTCTTCGAAGAAGATTGTAGCCTTGCTCTTGAAGTTGAACTTCCGGCACGAGTGTGGCCTCGAGGAAGTTGTTGAAGTCCAGGTGCTGTTCTAGACTTGCTGCAGATAGTCCAATGGCCGAGTAAAGCGAATCCTTCAACAGCACATCGTGGTTGTCGGGACCTATAACAGATTGTTAGAATAGCACCGGTGGCAAAAGGTTTGGACTGCTTACTTGCAAAGCCGTAGAAGACGTGCAGCAAACGGGGGATGAGCAACTCCTTGAAGTGAATGACAAGGTCAAGGAAGAGCTTTTCCGAGCAAGACCGGATGGAAAACTCCCACGCCTCGGCGATATCCTCTTCTTTTCTCTCCCATTCTTCTGGGTCTTCTTCCCATTCTTGAAAATCGTTCTTTCTGAAACGAAAGAATTGGGTAACCAAGAGTTCCATGACACTAACGACAAAGTCTTGCGTGAAAAGTTCGGCTTTGATGAGTTCCACAGATTGCTTCTTCTCTTCCTTGTCCTCTGCAGTTTGATACTTGAATGTCTGCGCAGGGTTGAATGCCATTTTCGAACAAGCCCTGATCAGAAGGAGCGCTCTCAGCCCGGTTTTTTCCATCAGTGTCTTGCCCTCTGATTCACCGTCGGCTCCGAGCTCACTGTAGTGTTCGCCCAACTGAGTGACCAGTGTCCAATAGGCCTGAACAAGACGGATGCTGTCGGGTAGTAATGCAAAAGAGGCTGGTCGGTCCTTGGCCATCTCCACATGAAGCTTAGAGAGTTGCAAAAGATGCTTCTCGACTGCCCTTTTGAATGGATCTGAAATGGCTGCAGGGCCATTGACGAAGTTCAAGAACCTGCTGAAGTGGGCATGAGTGAGGACCCAGAATTCGCGAACGTCCTTATCCCGATTAGGGTGTTCAAAGCCGGCAATGACCAGGCGTCGGATGACCTTAAGAGACACAAGGCTCTGTTCCATAGTCCCCAGCAGTGCTGTCTCATCAACGCCCCCTTGCTCCAACCAAGATACCCAGGTGTTCACCTTATCCACATATATGCCACCAAGCAGATGGAAGACCTCGGGTGCCACGGACTGGAGGTTGGCACGAGTCCTTTGTAAGCGAGCTGTTGACAACTCTTTGATGATTTGCAGTAAAATGACAAGGGTTCGGGGTAATTGTAACGGGTTCGCGCCGGGCTGGGTGGAGGAACGGAGGAAGGCGATGATCGAGGAGATTGCGTCAGGCCTGCAAGAACAATCAGCTAACGGTAATAAGTCAAGCAGTGATGCGAGATCACATACCAGTCTTGAGGAAATTCGTAGCGCATTATCTTAGCTAGCATCAAGGCATTGTGAAGGGCGAGTAGAGGGGCAGGTTCCACGACACCAGCTTGTAGTGCTCTGAGCTTAATCTGTTCCTTCTCCTCCTTCTTGATGGCACTTTGCGAGTATGTCAGTCCTTGTATATGAAGTCAACGAGCTCAGGCGAGCCTACTTGGTAGCGGTCTTTCGCCAATACTTGTCGATGCCGTTCTTTAACTGGATAATGGCAAGGTATCGAACTTCCGATGGGACGGACTGATCTAGGAATACGTCCTGCGGAAATCAGAATTTATTATGGCAGCCGAGTCCGTGGGAGAACCTCACCTGAAGGTATGTGTAGTACATCTCTTGTTTCTCCCAGTTCTGGAGTTGTTGGGTACCCGTCTGCACCTGCTGTTGGGTTGAGCTCGCCGCTAGGATCAGTGCATTGAGAACATAATGCGGTGTCAGCGGGTTGGCTTCCCCTGCCAACTCGATGACCGAAGCCATGTTGTCCGTGAGATTCTGTGTTGTCGGGTATAGAGCCGACTAGTTCGAAGGTGGTGTATCGCACGCGTCGTATCGTACTGCGCAGCTTGGGTTACTCGGAAACTTAATTGCACGAGAGATGAAAGGCGGCCAAGACAGGAACCCCAACGACTCGACGAAGCAAGTGATGCAGGTACAGTTGGGTTCTGAAACCCTGCCCTGTAAGAATACAAGAAGACTAGGAGTGCAGGGGACGGCGGGAGGGGAGACGGAATGTGTATTGTTACCAATGACAAGGAGCAACAAGCAGCAGAGAAGCTTCACTCAGGGCCGGTCACCTGCCTGATTCATTGATTCGACTGCTAGCAATCTTTCGTCCCCGCCTCGGCGGGACAAATCCGCTCGATGGTTGTTCCGCTCCGAGTAGCCCTAGGGTCGGACCCTGAGCGCTAGGCTCAATCCGGATCAAAGCTTCTTAGGGCTTGGGATCGCATGATATCATATAGTTAGTACCTATCTACTACGTACTCGTAGGTGACCAAGTCACATAGATCTAGAATCGAAGGCAAGCACCGTTACATACCTATGATGTCTTATGATGCAATGTCCTTCACACTCTCCATCAGAGATGTGTCCAAGAGGACATATAAAAATCATGAAAATGCTGGGTTGTCCTAATCATAACCACAACCTTTAACTCCCCAGCTCAATTCTAAGTGCATCAACCACTATATCCCTTTTATTGAACATACCTATACCACCGCATTTCCATCAAAATGAACGGCTACGACAAGGTTCGCGTGGCTTTCGACGCCGAGAAGGATTTGAACTCCTACCAGGCCAAGCAGGGCCTTGGTAAGAAGAGTGACTCCAGTATGTGAATCGTCCCGTTACCCAACCACGCCTCATGGCTCATTGCTGATGTGCCAAAGCATTGGAATCCGGTGTGGATGAGATGGTCGAAAGAAAGTTCGAGGCTGGCATCAGAACCGGCCGAGAGGCTCATGCCACTGGAAGCAACCGTAAACCCATCCCTGAAGACGAGGGTGGCAGCCGTGACGACCGTGGCCGGTAAGCTAGGCTTTCCCTTCCATCTCATGTCCTTCACATGGAAGCTAATATTATCCCTTTATAGTCTTGCACCTGCTGAAGCATTTGAGGGCCTTGGCGGTCCTGAGGATAAGGTGAAGCTCAACTCGGAGCGTCGTCCTGGCGACCAAGACACTCTGGACATTCAGGATTTGAAGCGTGCTGGCCTTGCTGAATAAATCATCTAATGTACTATACCTGTAACGAATAAATCATGATGCATGTGAAGATCATATCGACCTATCAACAAGCCCTTGTTCGTTTGATTGTAGCCTTCGGTGGATAGTAAATACTGGCTGCGACCGGTATCATGAGAGAAGAAAGTAAAGTTCAAGTCGGAGCGCCACAAAATGTTTGAAAGCTGGTCCCAGTTCATGACTGGCATGTCAATGTTTATTTGACTTTTGACCTAGGCTGGGTCAATTCTTCCGTTGCCGACATCTGTTGTGAATGTGATTCTCATCTAATCAACCCCCACTTTACCTTTTCTTGCAATAGTTAGGTATAAAGAAGGAGTAAATCGCACCATGTCTGATGCCGGAAAGTGTTCTTTATCATATCTTGGCATCAAATACTTCGTGTTACTTATCATCGCGACATGACTGGCCCTACAGAAGAGCCGACTGAAAGGCAGTTGTTCATCAATGGCAGGGTAGGGTCTAGCATCTCATGAAGATGATAAGACTTGCAAGCTAATATAACGCTCAACAGTTTGTGCCATCATCAAAGGAAAGGTGTTCGAATTAACTAGCCCCTATACCAATGAAAAAGTGGCAGAGAGTAAGTGAGATGATGAGGTTATACCGAAGGAACGCAACGTCTAACATAACACGAAAGCTTTCCAGTCTATGAAGCCAGTGAGGTCGCGTAGATGCTGCTGTTGCTGCGGCCAAGGCCGCATTCCCAACATAGAGAGATCTCTCTCCGGCAGACCGAGGTGTCTTCCTGCGAAAGATTGCATCGCTTATTCAGGGTCAAGAGGAAGAGTTTGCGCACTTGGAAGCTTTGTCTACCGGAAAGCCGGTGTCCCGTTACGTCGATTCCAGTATGGCAATCATTATTTTGCGGAGGCTGAGTGGACTGTTCAAGGATCATGCAGTATAAACACACCCGGTCACCTCAATATCACGGTGAAAGAGCCGTACGGAGTCGTGGCAGCCATCATCCCTTGGAACGTACCCCTCGCGTCCTTCGCCACGAAGATTGCACCGGCGGTGGCAGCTGGAAACACCGTTGTTTTGAAAAGCAGCGAAAAGTCGCCTTTGACTGTATGATTCCTCTGAAGGCGTACAGCCCACCGCTCTTCAGTCAAGACTAACGATGGTATACCATGCAGATTGGCTTGGGAGCCAAGCTGATTGCCGAGGCCGGATCCCCACCCGGTGTTGTAACCATACTTCATGGATATGGCCCGACCACCGGCAACGCGATAGCCTCACACATGGACGTTCGCTGTTTCAGCTTCACCGGATCTAGCTTGACAGGACGGAAGTTTCAAGCCGCTGCGGCCAAGTCTAATATGAAAACCGTACACATGGAGCTAGGGGTAAAGACCCTTGCCCTGATCTTCGAGGATGCGGACCTGGAATCCGCAGCTGAGCAGACTCTATTCAGCGTGCAATTCTTCAGTGGACAGACCTGTATCGCCAATTCACGCATTTACGTACAAGGAACAGTAACAGACAAGTTCCTCGCGGTTTTCATGGATAAATTTGGCGCTGCTATACTTGGAAACCCGTTGAATAGAGCAAAGGATCAAGGACCGCAAGCTGATAGGATTTAGTATGAGCGGGTCAAAGCATACCTTTCCTCGGGAAAGAAGAAGGGTAAGTTGACACTCGGCGGTGATACAAAGGATGGAAACTTCATCAAGCCCACTGTGTTCGAGGAGGCGCCGGAGGAGTCTCAGATCATGAAAGAGGATGTTTTCCGTCCTGTGGTAGTGATCAATACATTCGGGAAAGAAGAAGAGGCCATTGCAGGAGCCAATGATAGTGAATTCGGCTAGTATGCATCCGTCTTCACCAAGAATTTCGACCGGGCTCTGCAGGTATCGAAGTTGCTTGAAGCCGGGACCGTTGGCGTTAACTGCACAAGTCCCTCCATGACGAAAGATATGCTATTCGGACACTGGAAAGGCAGTGGTATCAGTCGTGAGGGTTATCTGCATAGCATAGATAGCTATCTGGAGCCCAAGTCCATTCTGGTCAAGACAGGCTAAGACAAGGATGGTCCGGACTGCTCGGTCTTCCTTCCTCTGGTCTGGACTCATTCCAGACTGACCTGCGCAATTCTGCTCGAAGTGGATTGATTCCATAAGTTAGGAAATTGCAACGAGATACTTTTTCGATTTTTACAGCCTCACAAGCACGATAAATAAGATTGTGTACAGGCGATAGCGGGAAGCTTAATGGCGCTCAGTGCACACTAAACATGTGGGAGATGACGGAAGACTATGGGTCCGGGCGATGATGAATGCTTCTGCACCTGGACCTCAACATCAAAGCAGAATCGCACCTTACTACCTAGGTCTGAGTGCACTGGCCACGGCATCAAAAGTAGGATACTGATATTACTACCTTTTATCCAGTTTGGAAGACAAGCTATACCAAGATAGCTAATTAGCGAAGAGAACAATGTTGCACATACACAGCGCATCAAGAGCTCAAACCAAGCTGCTCTAAGCAAACCCCCCATTCCTGAAGAGCCAATTGCCCTTGTTGATATCACTACAAGTGTACTCTTTCTATTTAGATTCGTTTATGGTCATATACTAGAGAAATTGAAGCAATAATCATTACCTTTGTTATGTCTCATTATTCCCAGTCATAACGTACATTAAATGCCCACCTAGTCATCCACCTTTTTTATGCGTAATAATTAACCATATATTTCACTCCATGTCGATCCAGTCCAAGAGAATCGCACTTTCACTCACAGAATGCTCATCAGCAGAGCCACAACGGCACCCGAAAGAGTGGCAACACCAGGCAACATCATAGGGTTACCATTGTTGGCAACAGCGGATGATGAAGCAGAAGAAGATATAGAGGAGTTGGAGCTGTTCTGCTTCCTGGTGGCGGTGACGTCGACATTATACTTGGATTTGGTGTCGTACGGGAAAGGGCTGGTGTAGTTGTAAGTAGGCTCAGTGTTGGCAAAGTTCTTCTTCACAATGTCAAGAATACCATGACCAGCCGAGCAAGTACCATTAGTCAAAGGGACTGGCCACGCAGAAGAGTACTCCGAGTAATCATTGTCAGAGAGCGGGCCAGGGTAGGTCTCGTTAAGGTGGAGATTAGTGGTGTCAACATCGTAGTTAACGTAACCGGTCTTGTTAGCCACGATTTCGAGAATGTTGGCGCCACAGTCCCAGCGCCCAAGGGAAGGCAACCCCCAGTTGGCCGAGACGGATGCAATGACGGAGTAGTGGGTGTAGAAGGTGTCGTCCTTAGTGCCCTTTAGGTTGTCGGGAATCACACCACCCAACAAAATACTGAAGATTTTGTTTCCCTTGGGGTAGGTCTTGTCCTCATCAAAGGTGAGGAGCAACAAGGTATCGTTCATGAAGTAGGAGTTGTTCAGCAACGGAGGCACCCAGCTGCGCTCCCACTGAGCAGCAAAGGTGATGTTTGTGTCGTGGGCATCATTAGTCATGTTGGGAGTGATAAAGGCCCACTGAGGTAGCTTCTTGTTGGCCAAGTCGTCTTCAAAGCTGGTGAAGTTCTTGATCTGACGCAAGCGAGTGCTATTCTGGGCAATCGAGTCGAACAAAATCAAAGGGTTGTGTTTTCGCACGTAGTCATTGGCATAGGTGACTTGATTAGAGTAATTATACCCTTGGAAGCCAGGATAAGGGAGGTGCTCCTGATATTCACCCCAAGCAATGTTTTTCGTGTCCAGCAAATCAGCGACAGTAGAAACGTTGGCCGGAATTTGCTGGAAGTCATCGTTGTCCATGCCAAAGGTGTCGCCAGAGGCCGAGGCACAGTAATTTGGCTCGGAAGGATGGGTGACTGCGTAGAAATTGGTCCTACGTAGAGCACCGTGTTAGTGACGAACGTCCCGTTCTTCCATTATAATACGGAAGTCACTCACAGTGTGATACCTTGCGAAGCCAGCCATTGCACGTTCTCGTCCGCAGCAGCATCCTCGTAGTCCTGGGATCCCATGATGTCAGCGGAATTCATGGTGATAAGAATGGATAAGGTCCATACAATGTTCTCAAGCCAAATCTGATAGAAGCGATTGAAGACAAGGCCCTCGACATTGGAAACGGGGGAGTATGGCTCAATTGTGGCCGCGGCCTTCTCGATCTCCGTTAGAGAAGGCTCAGAGACGTTGGCGAGCTGGGCGTACGCCACGGAAGCGGCTGCAAGCAGAGTGGCGGCGGAAGACTTCATTGTGACTTGATTTCCTCCACGACGCAGTATTTTGACGATCACCAAGGAAAGGGTGGTAGATGAGAGAATGATCAGCGCTCAGTCAAAACATTGAGGAAGGACTTCTAGTCGTATATTTATAGGCTCCGGCAAGAGAGAAGCAGTGCATGTCTCCGAGCCACGCGAGACCATGTGCCCTGACCACGGGTTAGTACATAGAATGAGGTTCCACAGAGCGGATAGTTGGCCAGGGACCGTACTGCACGTTGAAGCTAAATGGACCACGCGGATCAGGAAAGACCTTCTATTCGACAGTTTGCTTCTGGCCTATTCTTGTTCAATCCTGGTCTAATCGGCAGCTGGGGTGACATCGTTCGATCTCACTTCATCTTTCTCGCTGCCAAAACAACAGAACAGACAAAGGGGGTAAGGAACATGGATTCTCCAATTCCCTTGACCACGTTCCTCGAAGATGGAGAAGTTACACCTGAAATTATGCTCGGATTATATAGGGCCACCTGGGTTGCCCCACGGGCTAATCCCCGATCGGTTCTAGTGAGCCCCTATCAGTGGGGTAATTACTGCACGTGCGCCTGTCGCTGGCTCTGTGAGGACCCTTGAATGCAGGGCAGCAGGACATCCATCGGGATAGCTGCATCCTGCCCGCTTCTATCACTGCGCCTCCTAGGATGCTATACTACCTAAGGTGCTCACAGGGTCACTTGCGCCATATTTTCATCCAGCTCTGAGTCGAGTTTCTTCCAACGTCTGACCATGAGCCTAAAATTGGCCAACCACCTTTGTTATAAATTAAGTAGAGTACCTAATAGTAATACTGAAAACCAGATTTGATGAGAGTTTTAGCTCTCCCCGGTCAGCAATGGAATAAGATCTTGGCTACAAGGTTGGCTGCATCTCCAAGTCGGGCTCCAGGCCGGGCTCCTACCTTTCGACCATCTGCCCCAACTCAAGGCATTATGCTCCAAATTTTCAGGTGAACAGCCGCGATGAGTCCTGGACCATATTATCTCATCTGCGCAGTAATACTTGATTACCTGAAGCATCGGATTTTCAGCATCATAGTGGCAGAACTTCAGGCACATTGTCCTCGGCCAGTCTAGCACATTGTTCACCTTCGACGCTCAAGACAGCCTTATTCGATGAAATGCAAAGGGGTGCAAACCCTATGTGATCTTCGGTCGAGAACCACGTCCTCGCAATCTGGACGAATGACACGCATAGTCTTGACCCCTCAAGTGCCCATGGACGTAGCATTGGTTGGACTCGGCGCTCCAAGTTTGGCTGGGAAGATACCCCATACATTCATTGCACTTATTGGACAGCTGCATGCATATCATTTCCATGCCGTGCGACTGGATTAAGGGTTCTACGGTGCAGTAGAAGGTATTGTAGGGCTGGGGTTGTTGGCTAGCTATATATTGTAGACATGAACAAGATCGAAACAATTTCACCATAAGGGACCTTTTTCTTGATATCGCCTTTGCAGGGCTCTGGGTTCTCCCTAGAAATTGAACCCCACCGGTCAGTCGCATCTGATCCCTGGTGCATTGTATATTTATCTAATGTATTCGCAGTAGCAGGGATATGGGTGCATTTAAGAGTGACTAAGACATCAAACGTAGATACTGAGAAATTCCGGATCCTCATAGCGCTGGATCCATGAGGATCAGTTTCAGTCAAGGGGAAAGATAGATGAAGATTTGTTGTCTACCTACATATTTGTAGCACTTTATTGTCGAATTGACAGAGCCGACGACATTTGCTTATCTTCCCATTGATGTCACGTGTATTGTATCCAACCTCGGCAGTTTCCCTTCCGGTCGGGGGCGCCGACGAACGAGCAATCAGCCTCGCTAGCATGATCACTTCCGATACAACATTCAGGTCTTTCCTGGATATTGCAAGGTTATCGACACGACATCACGAAACCTTTCTATTTCTCTAAAAATAAGTCAACCCAACAATGATCCTGCGATGAGTTCTACAAACTTTGCCGCTGCTCAAGAGCGGGTTCTCGAACGTCGTCGTCTCCGCGAGGCCGAGGCTCGCTCCAGGCTTGCTGAACAGCAACAATCCCACCCTCTCAATCACGCCGCTCTTCAAAAACTCCCTTATCCTCTCAACAAACTACCTGCGTCGGGAATCTCCATATGGAATGCTATAAGGGGCCGCGAAGGACTGAGACCAGCTTATCGCGTCGGTCAGGTGGACGCCGAATTGCTGGATGAGGAGTTGCTGGGGTTGCTCAAAGGACAAGTTGGAGATGCATTGAAGTACTACGGTGTTTGTTTCCCAAAAGCCTGTGTACACTTGGTCTAGTCGACATGCGCTAATCGTTACTCCCAATAGCCTCAAATGCGTGAAGATTGGTCCCACGAGATCCAATTCGCTCTTCGTGCAGCCCTATTCAAGCTTTCGATCTGGGATCATAATGCCTCATACGGCGCGGCATTACAGAACCTGAGATACATTGATAGTCGGAGCAAAGGGCCTGTTCATTCGGCTCCCACTAAGTGGCAGAAATCTTTATATGGTCTCCTCACGGTTGGCGGTCGCTATGCTTGGGGCAAGTGGGAAAGTTGGTTAATAAGCAAAGAAAGTGGCTATGACGAGGTAAGTCAGAGCCTCTCCTTTGAGACCCATCCTGAACATGGCTCATGGTTTCAGCCATCACAAGAGGTACGGATGCTATCGCGAGTGACCGACCTTGTCTGCGCCACACACTCAATCGCCGCATTTATCTCGTTCTTGGTATTCCTGGTCAACGGCCGGTACAGGACACTGGTTGATCGCATTATCCGCATACGCTTGATGCCGCCGTCTGCACAAGCAAGCCGCGAGGTGTCCTTCGAATATCTGAATCGCCAGCTAGTTTGGCACGCATTCACGGAGTTTCTCCTGTTTCTCTTGCCACTGGTTGGCATAAGCCGATGGCGCCGATGGCTCTCTAGACTGTGGAAGAAAGCATTATCTGCACTAAAATCAGGTAATGAAGACGACGACGTAGACGGCAAACAGGGAGAGCTTGCATTCCTTCCAGAACGAACGTGTGCAATCTGTTACAAAGAGAACAACCCTGCCGCCGCAACAGAAAGTGACGCCATTGCAGCCTCGGCGTCATCTGGAGGGATCATTGGGTCTGCTCAGACCGATATTGCCAACCCGTATGAGGCTGTTCCTTGCGGCTGTATATATTGCTTCGTATGCATCGTACAGAAGCTGGAAGCCGAGGAGGGAGAAGGCTGGATCTGTCTCCGATGTGGTGAGGTTGTGAAAAAGTGCAAGCCATGGAATGGCGATGTGCTAGAAGACGCTCGTCCGCAATCAAGCTCAGGGAAGATTGTGGGGTTCGCTATGGATGGCACTGCAGACATGGACAGCACCCACCGGGGAACGGAGTCAGAGCGGCACGCGGAAAGGACGACCGCATCGCCGGATTCATCGTCAGATGAAGGGATGCATGAATCGGACCACTGGTCTACAATTGAGAAGGGTTCTGTGGAAAATCTGGACAATAGCTAATCAGAAAGCACGAAATAAGTGATTTTTGGTGCGGGATGATTTGTCGAGACCTGCCAAATCTCTGACTACAATACGATCTTCTCACCTTGATGAGTTGCATATCTTGATGACGTGACTCAGGTTATTGGATTGACTACGATTTAAAGATACCCAGCAGTTTTTAGAATCTATTCTTGCTGCAGCGACTTGAACAGACGTCAAGCTCCAAGCTTCAAACACATGTAATAATACGGGTCCTCTATCATCAAGCATGAATAGGTATGCTTTGTAGGGAAAAGAGACAGTCCCCATAAAAGAAATCTTATTGCCTACATAAGTTGTCCTTGTCATGACAACTTGGAAGCACTCATGCTTTGCACCTTTCCAACCCAAACGACGACATGGTGGACCCACTCGGTCGAAGTCGTCTTCAAATCACAACGAGATTGATTCCGATTACCGCTAGGGTGCCGCGGATGTCGTCCTCCCCCCACAATCGGACACTTCGCCGATGGCGGGGTCGCCGCACTTCCGATCGAGGAGCTCCCCTTCATAACCTTGAGCACGAAGCACGAAGAATAATTCTGCATCGACAACTTCGTCTGTTCTCTACCAGCCTCGTTCAGCTCTAGGTAGAACAGGCTTAGAGGAGTCCGCGCCAGAAGGCCTACAATACCAGTACATTTTCGTTCAGCAAGCACCAACATGGACCTCACCAAGCCAGCCGGCGCCCCCTCCAACCTCCAAGAACCCAAATACATTGACTTCCCAGCTCTCCCAGCTGATGCGAAGCATGAGGATGGCACCCCTGTTTTGAACAGGTGGTCTTCGACCATCACGAAGGGTCATGATTTTCCTGGTGCGAAGGTTCGTTAGCTTGATTCAGGTTCACTCGCTGCATGATCTTGGTCGCTGATACCAGTTTCAATCTAGGCAATGCTATATGCGGCAGGCATTCCCGACAACAATGCGATGACGAAGAGTCCCCAGGTGGGAGTTGCCTCTGTATGGTGGGAAGGCAATCCGTGCAACATGCATCTTCTAGACTTGGGCAAGACGGTGAAGAAGGCAATCACAGAACAGGGTATGATCGGGTGGCAGTATAACACAGTCGGGGTGTCGGACGCAATAACTATGGGCAGTGAAGGTGGGTACATTCAGGTCCTTGCATGAATGAAACTGTTACTGACTGGAGATAGGCATGAGATTCTCCCTCCAGACCCGCGAATTGATCGCCGACAGTGTCGAGACTGTCACATGCGCTCAGTACCATGATGCTTGCATTGCCATTCCCGGATGTGACAAGAATATGCCTGGTGTAGTAATGGGAATGGCCCGACACAATCGCCCCTCAATCATGATTTACGGAGGTACCATTCAAATTGGCTATTCCAATCTTCTTAGGAAGCCTATTAACGTGTCTTCCTGTTTCGAGGCCGCTGGTGCTTATGTATACGACACCTTGCGTCAACCGGACGATGGAGGCGACACTAGCAAGACTAAAGACGAGATCATGGATGATCTTGAGAGACATGCCTGTCCCACTGCAGGCGCGTGCGGAGGCATGTTCACCGCCAACACAATGGCCACAGCGATTGAGTCTATGGGTCTTTCGTTACCCGGTTCCTCCTCCACGCCCGCTTCCTCTCCGTCAAAAATGCGGGAATGTGTCAAGGCAGCGGAAGCTATCAAAATTTGCATGGAGAAAGACATCAGGCCGAGGGATCTGTTGACAAAGCGCTCTTTTGAAAATGCCCTCGTCATGACAATGGCTTTGGGAGGAAGTACCAATGGTGTCCTTCACTTCCTGGCTATGGCCCGGACAGCCGGGGTAGATCTGACCCTGGATGATATTCAGAGAGTCAGCAACAAGATTCCCTTCATAGCCGACCTTGCCCCCAGTGGAAAGTATTACATGGCGGACCTGTACGATATCGGAGGTATCCCGTCCGTTCAGAAGCTACTGATTGCAGCGGGTCTGCTCGACGGCGATATTCCTACGGTGACTGGCAAGACTCTAGCCGAGAATGTGGCTTCTTTCCCATCACTGCCGGAGGACCAGGTCATCATCCGGCCTCTCAGCAATCCAATCAAGTCAACAGGACACCTTCAGATCCTTCGAGGCAACCTTGCCCCTGGAGGTGCCGTAGCCAAGATCACTGGCAAAGAGGGTACTCGCTTCGTCGGCAAGGCACGGGTGTTTGACAAGGAACATTCTCTCAATGAAGCTCTGGACCAAGGCAAAATCCCCCGCGGCGAAAACCTTGTCATTGTGGTTCGTTACGAAGGCCCCAAGGGTGGGCCAGGAATGCCAGAGCAGCTCAAAGCCAGTGCTGCGCTCATGGGAGCCAAGCTCACCAACGTGGCCCTCATTACAGATGGGCGGTACTCTGGAGCCAGTCACGGGTTTATTGTAGGTCATATTGTACCTGAAGCCGCCGTTGGGGGACCGCTCGCAGTTGTTCGTGACGGCGATGTCATCACCATCAATGCGGAGACAAACGAGATTAGCATGGATGTCTCTGACGAGGAACTTCAGCAACGGCTGAAAGAGTGGAAGCCTCCGGCTCCCAACGTCACACGGGGTGTGTTGGCCAAGTATGCCCGACTTGTTGGAGATGCTTCCCACGGAGCCATGACAGATCTTTTCTAAATCCAAAACATGACACTTGTTCTCTTTTCTTGTACAATTCAATTGACTGATGGTAAGCGGTGAGAGCAAATGAAGACCTATTGCGACATATCCCGTCTACTCGAGCCATTCTTTTCGTAATACAGTGCAAGTCGTCTTCTAGATCCCTTAGGTTCCCGCATCCTGTTTGGATCGTAGGCGTATGCCTGGCTGACCTGAATCTGATACATCTTCACGTAAACAGAACCCTGTGTGGCTTAATTTGACATGTTCTCTGAAAGCCAGATGATTTACAAGCTCAGCGATGCAGTGTTTCTGCCAATTTATTCAGGCATGAATATATGCTTAGTCATGCCACGGGATGCGGCGTGACGCCATGAGTGGATGTGATTCATCGCCGGCAAATTTGCGACGAACAAGAATTCCAGATATCCTCCACGGTGTTGCCTCCGAGTCTCTGACAGGCTCGTTTGCGTTTGGCACTTCCAGACTGATCTCCGCCGAAAACCGAGTTTCTTTCCGGATCTCTTGCCTCCTAAATCGATTTCCGCTCCGCGGTTAAGTCCCTCTTGTTAAAGTTCGGATCGCATTCGGCAAATGGTGTTGTGATTTTGGTCGTCTTTGCTGTCTACGCAAGGTATGTTCCTCACTTCTGCCCACGGTACCTTGCAGGCTGTGCTTGTATACGTCTTCCGCCCTCGTGTAACAGCTCTCAGGACTCACGTCGGCACATTGACTAACAACTCCCAATAATCAGTCGCGACGTAAAGACCTATTGATACCTTGCGACCCGTTGGAACAACGAATAGTCCCATGTGACCCGTCGGGTCCTCCTTTGTGTTTCGTCGCCCAGGATTTGAGCATATTGTCGTCATCGGAAGCCCCTGATATACGATTACCACTCCTTGCCGAATCCCATCAGAGGCCGGTGGAGCTGTCAGATTCTCTGGGGGTGCCTAAATCCAGCCAGGAGACCAACGTGTTGGGTAGCAGCCCCTCATTGGTGCAATCGACTGGGGGCGCACTTAAGAGTAGTTACTAAGAACGGCGGCTTGGAATCGCTCCTTACCTTAGACAACCTTTTCAGTCCGGCGCAGGTCCGTAAGCGCAGATCCATCTTACGGTGATTGCCTCGATCGGCCCGCTTCTTTGCCTCACTATCGATCCGGAACACAGTCTAGCTGCCAAGGAGGTGCTGTACTTCTGGCTCGTGGAGGGTTCGATTCGCATTCCAGAACGGATCCTCGTCACTCCCGATTCTTGGTCTGGACGCTGGTCGACAGAGAACCCCCGGCACTGGGCGTTGGGGCTTGGAAGGACGGCGAGCGGGTGAAACAAGCTCTCTTGGTCATCAGCCATATAAGCCTGGGAAGCCTCGCAGAGGCGGCTGCTTTCGTTGGGGATGGTTTCTTCAGTTGTACCACCGACTTTCCCTACCACATCCCGTCCTGGTATCGTCGAAAGTGGTGCGCTTTTGCGTGCATGGGACACGGTCTACTCGACATTCTCTCGCTCGGGCATCTCTATTTGTTTCTCTCATCTTACTCAGATCTCTCGTTACGATGGAACTTTGAATTGGGGAAAGATTGTGTTCCTTACTACCTGCATTGTCACGATGGTCGGATGTGGTTACGTTACCTCGCTTTTGCGGCGAAAGGGCTGGGGAGCAACCCCAGCTAAGAAGCGCTTTCGCCGCGCTCTACGCAAAGACTATTCGAAGCGCTCTGCTGGTACTGTAACTTCATCGGAAGACGAAGACTATGATAGTACTGGCTCCCTGAGCCTCGGCTCCAATGAGACCATATTAGAAAAAAGGGAAGCACCTCAGCATCATGAAAAGCGCGAAAATGGTGAGTGGACTAACACCCTAGCTGCTCCCTTCGGTGACTGACTGGTTGAAAGCAGCGCATGACACGGACCCGGGTCTGTTAAAGAAACATTCAACATACCTGTCATACACAACATCCGTTGCGACCTATCCGTCTATTAGAACCTTCAACCGACCTCATCCGCAAATGGATAAGCTTCCCACCAAGCCTACTCCAATTCCGCTGTTGGTTTTTGTACATGGCCTGGGCGGATCGTTGGCTCAGTTCAACCATCTCCTGACCAGCCTGTCAAACATTGGGCCTTGCTTTGGTATCGATCTTCCAGGATGTGGATTGTCGTCATTCGATCCAGATTCCTGGGATGCATATACCGTTGAGGCGCTGGCAGAGCTGCTGGCAACAGCCATCGAGCAACACCGCGATAAGGATGCAGGGCAAGGTGTGGTTTTGATAGCTCATAGTCTGGGCTGCTCCCTGTCTGCGCTATTGGCGTCTTCCACTTCTAGGATTGGCTCCAGTCTGAAGGAGCATATCTTGGGCCTCGTTGCTGCCTGCCCCCGTGCGACGCCTCCACCTGCCCGGGACGTTGCCAAGTTTCGTCGTTTACTTCAAATCCCCGGCCCGGTCTTTGACCTTTGGCGTTCCTGGGATCGACGTGGTGGCCTGCATAGCAGCAGTGTCAACCGACTTGTTGGTGCGGCAGCAGATCCAGATACGAGGGAGCTCCAAGTACGATACAACAAGCAGAGCAAAACCCCGGTATGGAGGCGGATGGCTTGGGGAACGCTCCCTACCTACGATAAGTCTGGTGATCCTGTTGGGGGTATCCCGGGTGAGGCAGTGTGGGCAGGTGTCGAAATTCCTGTCTTGCTCGTGGCTGGCGAGGCTGATGCAGTGAACAAGCCCATTGAGCTCCAGAAAATACTCGAATTTTTCGAGCAGAGCGGGCGTAGTGTTGGCGACGGCGCCGATACCGTGACGCCGATTCCCGATGCCTCCGCAATAAATGACAAGGCTCCTGCGTCCTACGACCCTCTGGCACATGAGGAAAGTTTCGGACTCGAGGCGCAAGTTGCTGAGAAGAAGTTGACAAATAAGGCGGACGAAGCGACTGGGCACCAGCGTGCTGTGAAGACTGTTATCCTCCCAGCGCCAGCATCTCATGCACTGATCTACGACCGTGCAACTTATCGCACACTGGCCGGAATTATCCAAGACTTTCTTAATCAGCATATCGACAATCGTCTCAGCATGGGATGGCAGTTACAATATCTCAACACCTCCGGCAAATGGGACGTGAAGAATTTGGCCAAATGGAAAAAGGTTACGCCTGTCTCACAACGCATTGATGATACTTTTGTGGCCATGAAGATGCTGCGTGAAGTCGACGAGGAGCACAATCCGGTCCTGTTCTCGCAGACGTACCGTGACCGCATCTATGCTGTGGTTGACATTAGCTATGAGAATCCGGTGTACAACCCAGCATCGATGGAAAAGGGTGGTATCCACTACCACAAACATCCGACAGTGTCCAAGATACCTCCCACGCCGGATGAGGTTCGAGATTTCATTGCCTTGATCGATCGTCTGCAGAATGAGATCACTGAGATGATGGAGAAATCAGACAATCCGGAAGGCCCACGTCCAGTGGTTGGAGTTCACTGCCATTACGGATTCAATCGCACGGGATTCCTGATCGTCTGCTACCTGATCGAACGACGCGGATTCAGTGTCCAAGCGGCGATTGAAGAGTTCGAACGACGACGTCCACCAGGAATCCGACACGAACACTTCATCGATACCCTATTCGTGCGATACTGCGTCGGGCTGAAGCGAGCGCCCACGCTTTGAAAAGAATTGATGTGGATTTGAATTTGGCACTGGCATTGACTGGCACTGGCGTTCGGGAACGGGTTGACGATTGATGACAAGACCACCATAATTAAATTGTATATTACGGCGATTTATTCCACACTGTATGATAATAGAGTTCGCCTTCTCTGACATAATGATGAGTACGAATTGGAAAGCGTTTGTTTGGATAATGTTCGTTCGGCTAAATTGTAAAGCGGCAGAAGGTACGAAGTATGCGGAAAGTAAATCAGGCATGAATCTTGTCCTGCCTGAAGATGCGGGTAGCAATCAGTTCGATATGTCTTTGATATGTCTTGATATTTCGGCCTCAGGCACCCGCCCTTTAGGGTACGGCTAATCCCGAAAAGGCTAAGCGAAGCGCCCACAGCCAACCGAGAGGCACTACGAGCGCGAATGTTGTGTGCGAATCCGAAATTTCGAGGCTTGAAACCTGCCGACTCCTCAACGACGACAACGACGACCCATCCTCCCACCTCGTCCCTCTCTTCAGCTCCCTCTTCGATTTCCCCGTTCGAGGTCCACAAGTCGCAAAAATGGGTGGTGTCACCGTTCGCGATGTCGACGTAAGTCGCTTCCTTTTGATATGATGATCATGATGATTACGGCGAGGCGTCGGTCGGGGGGCATGGATAGCATGATATGGCATGGCACGGGCACAGACGAAAGAAAAAGGCACATTGCACATAAGCGGGCAGCACAAACCGACGCACAGAGCGATCACTACAACAACACGATATGCGACAGGAAAACCAAGGACGCATGGAATCAATATGAATCGGCGGTACCTCGGACAACGCGGGTGTCTTCTACGGAAAACAACGCAGGACAGTCTACGAAAAAAAGCCAGGGATATGGAAATGGAACGAACCCCCGCAATCGGACGAGAAATCAATATCTTGCAGCCATATGTTTCTCCGCAATATATGCATTTTCACAAGCAAAAACGATTTTGCGATTTGAGCTGAGCGATCAATCACGCCGCAAACGACTTTATTTCCTTCTCCCAAGTGTGCCTATGCCATGCCATATCTGCCTGAAATGTCGCACGAACAACGACAGGCTTCGCTGCAACGAGTGATGCTTGAGAAGACCTATAAGAACGGGTCGGCTAACGAGTCTTTGACCATACAGGCGCAGAAGTTCATCGCTGCCTACTCTGCGTTCTTGAAGCGTCAGGGAAAGCTCCCCATTCCTGGTTCGTTCTACACCACACCACCGATAACTTCCGGGATCCCGCGAGGGAACAAACGACTTCGATCAGAGAACTAATCTGTTTTCGCCATTAGGATGGGTTGACACTGTCAAGACCTCCGCCTCCAACGAGCTCCCTCCCCAGGATGCCGACTGGTACGACTATCTTCACCTTTGACAACTCTTTCGTATCCGGGCAAAGATCTGACCGAGTCTCCGTTTTCTACTCTATAGGTACTACGTCCGCGCCGCTGCCGTCGCCCGTCACATCTACATGCGCAAGACCGTCGGTGTTGGCCGCCTCCGCAAGGTCCACGGTTCCGTCAAGAACCGTGGTTCCCGCCCCAACCACCACGTCGATGCCTCCGGCTCCGTTGACCGCAAGATCCTCCAGTCCCTCGAGAAGATCGGTGTCCTCGAGACCGATGAGGAGAAGGGTGGCCGCCGCATCACCCAGAGCGGCCAGCGTGATCTTGACCGTATCGCCAAGACCACCGTTGACGAGGAGGAGGACGACGAGTAAATTAGTCCCGCTGGATTTCGATTTTAAAATAATGAAAAAGTCCTGATGTTAACCCTCGTCCTTTTTCTTCTTCTAACTTCTTTTTCTCTTCTTCGCCTTTTTCATCCTTCGACGTGTGCTTGAGGAGTAAAAAAGGAAAGTGGGAAACTCAGGGGGGAGGGAAGAGGCGGCTTTGGGTTCAACAATCCTTTTTCACCCTACAAGTCGACCCCATGTATAACTTCGTGTGTGTATGTGTGGCAGACATCAACAGGGTGCAAGGCAGGCCAACTTTTTTTCATGGGAGATTTATTTTCGGATGGAAGATGATCATAGCGTGTGGGCAGGGTACTCGAAGATGACCAAGACAACAATGGGAAACTAGAGAGAGGATGAACTTTGAATGATGGTTTTTATTTTTTTGACATATATCTTCCCCTCGAACTTCAGTTGTTCATGCCGGGCATTTGCAAGTGAACAGTTCCGTCTACATTCTTCTTCCGATCGATCTATTCTTCCGAGACATGCTATTGTCATGGGATAACTTTATGGACGTATGCCGTAGTATATTCTTTTGGGGGAGGATCGCCATTGGTCCAGCCCAGATGCCATAGTCTCGATGGATGATATCGCGGTATGAACTTGGCAGGCTGGGTTAATTATAGTCAATGCGTCTGCGCTCGAGCCATGTAGAGACCACCAAGTCTGGACTCTGTCGAGTAGTGGTGGTCCGGAGGCGCAACCCTGTTTTCCGGGCCGGCTTCTTGCAGACTGTATAGTAGCAACAAGTGCCCCGTACACTACGCTCTTGGTTTTTCCGCCGTTGCTGTCTCGCTTCCCTGCATGCATGAATCTACAGTACACACCTTAACCTCCCCTTGCCTTACGCCCCTATCTAAACGGACTGTCCAACGAATTGACCAGTAAATCAATCACTTCGAACCAAACCAATATTGAAAACCTAACTCTTCTGAACATCCATTCTGTAGTTTCCACTTCCCAAACCTGTCTTTCATTTCACCACCCAAAGCCCCAAAGCCCCAGAACCCCAAGGACCAGAAAAGAATCCCACCACTCAACCCAGGAAAATAACAGTCCAGCACAATCCATCCCTCTACTTCCTCCCCGACTGCGCACTAGGATCCTACAATCAAAGCCAATTAGTCCCGAACCCAACTCCCCCATCCCCAACCCATCAAAGAAAAAAAACAGAAACAGAAAAGAAAACCCACCAGATAAACCTGATAAAACCGCATCCTCAAATCCCCCTCCTCGGTGTCCTCACCACCAAAAACCACCCTCCCCGCCCAGGGCACCTCGACCTCATTCCCCGGATCATTTCGCAGAACGTACTTGACCGTCCCGTATAGCATGAGCTCGCCCTCCCCGCCGAAGTACACCCGCTCCGGGGTGTGTTTCCGCGAGGCGACGTGCGTCCAGAGGCCGTGGCGGAGGGTACGGATTTCTTTTTTCCGATTGGGGGTAGTGTTAGCCAGCGGTAGGATTGGTGTTATTTGAGTGTCCATATCAGGTTCTTAGGTGAAGTAGGGGCTTTGGTATGTGGTTCTGTGTATAGATGACGATGTGGAGGGGAATCGCGGGTATGGATTAATGTTAGGGGTAGGTAGGGTTACCGTCACGTCCCTTGGCCGTCTTCGGCCCCATTATCAATGTGGCATCTTCCGTAAAGTTCTGGACGTATTGGTCGTGGGCGGATTCGGTGTCGCTGGTGCGGTAGAAGGATTCGAGGAAGGAGATCATCGCCGCGGCGCGTGGGGGGGAGAGGGTCGGGTGCGAGGCGATTTGGTAGGTCATTGTGCTTGGGTTTCTTTATGGGGAGTTGGGGTTGTGGTATTGGGTGGTTTTATGGGGGGGTTGTGTGATGATAAGGTTGGGTTTTGTGCATATGTTGAAGTTATAGATTTCACTTAGATGCTTAGTTTCTGAGGACATACCCCGTGGTAGAGATGATGTCAGGTTACTTTGCACTTTGTAGTAATGTAGAAAAGTGATCGGGCCGATGAGGGGGGCATTGCTATCCGATGGGAGGAGGGTGCATCCGACGGTTTGTGCGGATTGAACAAACCCATACTGTTGGAATTGTCCGCGGCTAATTTATCCAGTTGCCGTGCTCAGATACTTGGGACTGATTTCATTGAGATATTCAAGGGCTTTACAATCATTGCGCGATGTGCTTGCTATGGTAGGCTTAACACGAAATACGTTGCTGCTACCTCACAAACGAATATACTACGACGGATTGCCGTAAAATAAATCAGGATATGCATGCTGCTACATCTCCGAATATGTACAAAGACTTCTACCCAAGGTCAAACCTAAACCTTCCGAAAATCCTCCTCTTGCTGCTCGAAATCCTTCCAACTCGCCCGGTCCGTGCCGTTAGGCCGGCTGGCTCGGATGAAACTGTTCTCCACACCATCGATTTCCGTGATGGACCGCACAATCTCAATGTCCCCTCCATAGGCCTTGGAGTACCAGATCTCAGTGAGGGCTTCCGCTCCCGCTTGTTCAGGAGCCGCGTAGAGGTGAGGGAACCGGGCCTGCATGATCTTCAGCACGGTCGAGGAGATTCGATCCACGCTGTCGCAGTGCCGCAGCTTGAAGAACTCGGGGGGCTGCGCAGCGCGCATTTGCTCCTGGATGGCGTCCGAGTACTTGCCAACGGCAAAGAGCAGCAGATCATAATGCATCAACGAAGCTTTGCCGTGGTATGAGCCACCCTGCTTCGCGCGATGGTAGAGGCCCGTCAATGCTGCAATTGCTCCCATACACCCGGTGCCGTAGTCGGAGATGGGGAACGGGGGAACCATTGGGGCTGAGTGACCCATGAATTCACCCTGTGCCCATGCAATACCACTCACCTGTAATACAAGTCAGCTGTGATTGTAAGACGTGAGACAATAAACAAGGCGACTTACGCAGTCGGCAATCTGTTGCCAGCCGGGGCGGCCAGCCCATTCACCCTCGTATCCAAAGCAGTTCTCATTCACAACCACAATACCCTTGCCGCGCTTCTCAGCCAGTGCGGCAAGTGCATCCGGTCCGTACCCCAGCTTTTCGAGAGCCCCTGGACGGTATCCGTCCACGAGAACATCGGCGTCAGCCAAAAGCTCTTCGAATTGACGCCGACCGTCTTCAGACTTGAGATCCAAGTCAGCAGCATGCTTGCCCATGTTGCCGTCCACCTGGAAGAAGGGAACATCAGACAGCTTGGGGCTGGTGATCTTCAGAACGTCGGCACCATATTCCGACAGGATACGTGCCACCGTAGGCCCGGCAATGATACGGCACAGCTCCAGAACCTTGACGCCTTCGAGGATTCTCTTGCTACCGCTGCGACTAGCAGGGAATGGTGTGGGAGGCAGGTCGCCGCTCAGACGGGTCACTTTCCAAGCCGGTTCCTGGACGTTGAGTTTGCCCTAACAGATATATGTCAGCATGAATGTCCTCTTCGAGGGACCGAGAATCCGTACATGGGGAGTTTTGATAAAGTCCTCGTATTTGAATGCCGTCACACCGGCCTGTCTCCTCTCCTTGTTCATCTCCTCTAACTCCGCCGCGGAGTATTTCTGCACATGGCTCTCGATGACCTTGATAATCTCCTCATAATCGGTCAGATCCGGCCGTTGACCCTCCAATCCAATCATGTTCAGCGTCGTGGTAGCCTCGAGTGAGCCATGAATGTGGAAGTATTCGTCCTTGTTCTTGGTCTTGTACAGATTCGCCGACATCCGACGGTAGCCGTTCGACTGGGCTGCGAGCAAGTCCGTGTCTAGGACAATTAGCCACACGAACACTGACGCCTCAGGGAGGAAGAATATGCCCACCTTTCAGCTTCTTCTTCACTTCCGGATCCAACTTGGACAATCCATCCACCTTGGCCATGTACGCCTGGCAACCAAAAGCGGTGGCCCGCTCGAGGCTCACCTTGACATTCCGCGCTTGAGTTGATGGTCCATACCGCAGATCAGCAATTGCGCCTGCCACTGCTCCCTCCACACCTTTCAACGCAGCCAAGGTCTCGGTCTCTTTGAACGGGATCGGGTAATAGATCTGGTCATGGATAGACGTGAATGACACAGCATCCCTGCGCTCCGCTACTTCCGCAGGCAAGCTGAGACGTTCGGCTTGGTCGCAAAGATGGTTGAAGATGCGACCCGCCTCGCGGACAGGCGAGTATTGTACGCTGCTCTCCGAATTGGCCGCCATACTCTCGTTATCTGATTATAAGATTAACCTCCTCGATAGAAATCCACACCGATATCGTTGGAGTTGCGCTTCCTGGAGACGGCAAGTACTTCCGCAAGTCAGTATACGGGAAAGCAAGAAGAAATCCACGCGGTCTGTCTGGGGAGGGGAAACGGACCCAGGTATATGTAGATCAAGGCCCGCCAGAAAAGCGACTTTTCGGCAAAGGAGTTTCTGGATTGAGAAGAAAGCAAGCAGCCCTTCTACTTTTTGACGGTTACGGTGGGTTCAGTTGTCCGGGTCCATTCCGAGGGATTGTCCCGTCGGGTGGATGCACATCTGAACGACCGATCGGCAAGCACAAATCTAACAGCAGAGGCCATTATGTCTGCTGAAGATTGTACTACGACAGGCAAAACGTTCTCTCTGGTCCTTGAGTAATAGCATCGGGAGAGGGGGACTCTAACCCCGCAGAGGAGAGAGGCGGATTGATTTCCGAAGGGTGGGAATGAGTTGGAGAAGTGCCTTTTCGGATGTGAGGCCGATAAGATCGGAAGCGGACTACGGTCCGGTCAGATGACGTCGCCACGGAAGCTGTTGTTTGATGCCTGACTGTTACGGCAGCATCAGGCACCAGCAACTTCGCCTTGCTGTGGCTTGAGCTGCTGGCCGACAAATACTTAAATACTTGATTGATTGAATGATTATTCAATGCTACCTTGCAAATAGCCACTTACTTCTCAAGTACAATTGTTTTTGAACGTCACGAAACATATTGACCCGCCGCAACCTTCTTACCACACCAGTGTTCGCTTCAAGAATCTTTATCTCAACATGACATGAAAGGTGAATGAGATCTAAACTGAGAGGCTGATGGCGATGAAACAATTCTACTACAGCCAACAAGGAACCTCCAGACGACTTGAGACGTATTGATTTTCTTCAAGACATTCTTCAAGACATTCTACCTGTCTTAAACTAAGTTTAAAAACCTATTTGCAAGAGAAGGCAATGCAAGACATACATGTCTTTGTCGGTGAGCATTGGATCTGCCCCTTTTTGCAGTAGGTATGAAGGGGAAGAGCATGTCACAGACGCATGCCGTATGGGTGGTCTCTTATTGATATGTATCTCAAGCCGGAGGATGTATCAGGCCAGCGTGAGGGCCGGTCTAGGTAGTTTGAATGATGATTGACATGTCTTACCCTCTTGTAGTATGCAAATCCATCCCCGAACTATTGCCCTACTAATTTTACCGAAGATTACATGACAGGTTCTGTAAGCGTCGTACTTCAAGTACGTTTAGTGGACGAGTCCTATACTTCATTCAAAGCAGATTCAATAGAAACCACAGGTTGCAAAGAGCTGCAATGCATTGAATGCAACGAAGGGCCGATGGAAGGCCTATGGAGACAGCCCATCTTTGTGACATCCTGCGGCTGGATCAGCCCCCAACCTCGGGTCTAAGCTCGCGGTAATGAACTGTGTAGTCAGCACACAGTGGCCTTTTCTGAGCCGAGTTATAATTAATGCAACCATGAGAGATTTTTAGGCTAGGCTTTGGATCAATAAGATTCCCTTTGAGAATCACGTTGATCCAGGCTAAAACTGGTGCCAAAATTTTGAGGCCACCTCGACCACCGGAAAGTTCTTCAGGTTGGTACGGAGTGCTCAGTACTACCTTCGAACACCTCGCTACTACACAGTATTGACGACAACGATGGATGGCAAATCACCCACCCGTCTTCACTCTTCTGATGGAGGGGGAAGGCAAGCAGCTAAGCAAGCCATTCAGCCAGTCAGCATAGAGTCTTACGGCGCATGTACAGTGCCCGATGCCCACGTGCCGTTGTCATGGCAGATTGTCGCCTACCAGAGTTCGACCAGGCAATGCGTACGTACGGTAGGGTTCCTGCCCTCACCAGGTTTTCTAGCCAAACCTACATTGTAGACGCGGGGGGTTGTGGCAGAGGGGCGCACGGGCACGAGGTACCAGCCTTGATATGTCCGTCGATCGGTGGAATTAAGTGGAAATTGTTTGCTCGAACCGGAGACCAAGGAAATGTTCAAGACAAATTTACATCATCGCAAGTTGATTGTTGGGAGTTTTGGGGGAGTAGAGGAGGGGTTAGTGGGCGGGTATCGCAGGGTTACCACTCATTAGTCTCTTGGGACTCTGAAGCCGTTTGAATTGGAAATTCACATTGAAGGAATACAGAGTGCGATGTAGTTAGTGCGGGGAGGGGAATGGAGGCGAAGGGGAGGGGAGGAGCAAGCTGATGATCGACTGACTAGTGGGATATTCATGATCATCATCGTCAGTCAGTTCGTTCTTCTTCCTCTCTGTGCGACTAGCACCGGAGAACGGTGTACCTTGGACCTTCTTGGACCTTGATAAGGCCGATACTTTGGAGGTACACAGCCCATACCTCCGATACGGTAAGAGAACAGCAGCAGCGGTATCAGGGCTGGTGGCCCCGGATCCTCCCGGTGCGATTTCAAGCGGGCCCAACTGGTGTCCACCAATCCTCGAGCCCACGCCCCAGCCATGGGACTTAGCCCTTAGTTACTCGACTTCGTATGGACCCCGTAAAGGTCCGCCGATATGGGGCGGCATGACGGGGGGTTTTGAGAGAAAGAGGAGAAAGATGCTTTGTCCAAGGAAATCCCGCGATAAGAGGGTCACACTCAGTTTATTCACTCTGGGCTGGGATTCTTAAGGCTGGTCATTTTCTCCCATTCCCTGGCATTTGAAACCCCCCTTTCAAAAAGTAAAGAGAAGCACAAATGACCCGAAGAGCAAAAGCGATAACACTGGTACTTCCTGAGTACTTGACCGCCGTGTTCCATCTGCAATAGAACGGACATTTCCTTCTAGCACGACTTGCAGTGTTGCTGCTACTGCTGCCGCTGCTGCGCCGGCTGACAAGACATTCCATTGTGCTATTCTTACTATTCTTACCTACCTACTACTATTATTGACGGACTGCAACCACCAACTCCTTGCGTTCCCTCCTCCTTTCCCTTCCCCTCCTCCTTCTTTCCTTCCTCCTTTTTTTTCTTTTCTTCGACCGAAACTCTTCCTCTTGTCTGAACTGTGAAGGAACTTTTTCCATCGACTCTACGTGGTTTCTTGCCAACAACGTGAACATTGTTCCCCTGGATCTACTTGTCTCCCACCCGTCGCGTTCCTCCCCTTATCAACCAACCGTACGCCCCTCTTAGCGCGTCGCATCGCATCTGGCTTGCATACTAAGTCCGCTCACCGTTGCGTCTGCACCTCTACGACCTGCTGTCAACAGATTACTGTGAGTCAAAGTCCCTAAGCCTCCGGTTTTCACCAACCACACTTTTTTTTCCTTTACATCAGTCGTTCTTGACCGTGAATCTGTGGCTGTTGGAGGGAGTTTGCACTAGGTCTGGAACTTTAGTCATCTCCCTCCATTCATTGTTCCTATTGTTTGGTTTGCGCCGCTATGGTTGGCTGATCATCCATCTGACTCATGTGATTACAGATCAACAATTAGCCACCAGGTTGAATAGAAGCATTCCTCTCCCTGTGTTCGAAACACCCATCATGGCTTTCCAAAATACCACGTCCAGCATCGCTATGGCCCTTGCTAGTAAGACCGCCTCGGTTGACATCCCCAAGCCGCGTCCCGGCTTTCCTATGGCTAGTCGCGACTCGACTCGCCCCGGGGCTCCTGCTTTGTTGCCCACACCGCCCAACTCTATATCGCCAACTTTGCCGCCTCAGGGCTTCAGACGAGAGGATGTCGGTCCGTCGGGTTACTCTCCGCTTGCCTCTTCGCATGTGGACTCGGACGTCGACCTTGGAGATGTTACGGCGAATCCCCTCGCTGCCCATGATCTCGATAGCACCGGAGCTATAACCCCTGGAATGTTGGCCAAACACCATCTTCCGGAGATTATGCTGCAGCATGGACCCTTGGCGATTCGCCACCTGATGGGTTATCTGACTTCTTCTGTTCCCGGCTTCTCGGGTATTCCTCCGGCCAAAGCACGGAGACTGGTTGTGGCCGCACTGGAGGGTCGAGGGTTGGACGAGAAAAGCGCTATCGCTCAAAGCAATGTGATCTTCGAGAAGGTTGGCTGGGGTCGCTGGGATGCACGGCGTCGTGGCGAACCGTTGCGCAGAGACTCGCAACGAATGAACATGTCGCCCCCCTCCAGTCCCTTGGACACGTTCTACCAGCGGGGCATGCAGATTCCCACCACCAAGAGGGAAAGCCTGCAGCCCTATGGCACCAGCGTAGCGGGTGATTCCGCCGTGTTTTCCTATTCAACCGAGATGGAATTTGGCCGTCCCGGTATCAGCATGTTGGAAGAGGAAGCTGACAAGATGTCTCTGGACGGCAACGATCGCGAGTACTGCTCATCTTCTGAGGCCCCTGACGACGAAATGCCAATCGAGGATTGGGGGGAAGAAGATGTGACAGATGAGGAAGATTGGGCGCAGATAGGGGCTGATGCTCTACGTGCACGATCCCTCAACGCCTCAGGCGGTATTGTCTACGGCAGCGGCAAGTCGCCTCAACTCCGTGGAGGAGGGCCGGCAACCTCATCTTTAGCAAAATCGGCACCGCGCAATTTTCCTATCCAACAGCTTGGGTTCAATCCACCTGATAATGCCATGAATGACGGGGATGAGCGCGCTGCAGCTGCAGCCGCATTGTTACGGCTTGGATCGATGTGATGTGGCTCGATGGCCAGTCGCCACCGGCAATCCTAGGGCAACGGTCTTTGCATGACCTATTTTAAGGCTGGACCATTCCTTTCTTAGTACATACATTTTTTGCTTTCGTCTTCTATCTCTGGGGCCACCAGCATGCTGCACGAACACCACCGGATCGGCTGGTTCGATCCCGGGTTGCATTAGGAGTTGGCTTGGCTTATCTGGGATTGACATGAAGGCGTTTTTTTTCTTTTGACGGCATCGCTACGATGTCAACGTCGTCAGCTCAACACTGACAGACGCGCAGTCAGCTTTGACATTCTGTCAGGTGATGGCATGGACTTATGACTATGATACCTCCGCTGCTATCTTGACAGCACCTTCGTTTCCTGCATTGAGCCCTCCGAGGCCTTCAACACATTTACAGTACATATGTACTTGATGACACGGGATAATCACCACTCCACATTGTGCATATTTTTGACGAGTTCAGGAAACAGTCAAATGGGGTCTACAGATTGCCTGTGAGGCCGTGTGAATATTATATATAGACATTAATACAAACACCTATGCTAGTCATAGACCAAGGCTATCTTTCAAGTTTTGCTTGCTGTATATTCTTGCCGGGTTAGGATTGAGATAATAGACTACGTGTTGCTCATCGTCACGTCAAGAGGATGTATTATAGATTGGTCATCAGTAAGTAAGCAGCCATCATATCGAACAGCTTATCACATACAGCTTGAACCAAGTGCTACCTTGAACTCTCACCCCCGCGGCAGGCAAGCAAGACCGACCCCCCAACAACTATATACTCACTTTTAGCCCTACCAACCACTGATAAATAACACGAACACTAACCCACCCACTCACCCCAAACACTCAAAAACAACATACAAGCAACGAAGATAAGATCCCAGAACTCCTCCTCCTGGCCCAACACAGCAAGACACGTCCAATATGCAAACAAACACCCCCCCCCCCCCTCCCCGCCCCACTATTCTTTCTTGATTAGAAAAGAAGAGGAGAGGCTCACTTATCATGCACATCATTAATCTTCTTCCACACCTCCGCCTCCACCTCGGCCAACTTGGTCCCCGCACTGCGGAGCCACGACTTGGCGTTCGCCACGATGCTGCTTCCCGCCTCACCGTCCTCGTCGAGATCCACCCGCCCTGAGACGCCGGGGTCGTAGTGCAGCGGGTGTTGTTGGGAGAGTGCCGTCGCCGCCGGGCGCGAGGTCGTTGTGGCGGGGAGGGTTGTTGTGGCGCTTGTCGGGGGTTGGTAGAGGGAGGAATAGGGGGTGGTTGTTGCGTTGGGAATTGCCGGTGGGACTGGGTCTGGGGGGGTGTATTGGTGTTGCATTGTGGTGCTGTATGGGAGTTGTTGTGGTGGGTATTGTGGTTGGTGAGGGGGTGTAGATATAGTTGTTGATGGGGTGATTGCGGTTATCGCTGGTGCTGCGGTTGTTTGTGGTGGTTGTGCTGGTGGTTGTACTCCTGCTGCTGTGGCGGTTGAATTGGGGATCTCGCCTGCTTTGGGGGGTGGAGGTATGGAGGATCCTAAAGCGGAAGCTGAAGCTGAACTTGTAGGAGCTGGGACGGGATGAGCTCCAGGCTGTGGGGGTGGGGGAGAGGTGGTTGTGGTCGTGGTGCTCGAGCTTGGGATGGTGGCGTCGCTCATGCTGGTTGGTGTTGGGGTGTATGCTGATGGAGGTGCTGCCGGGGCAGGCGCTGGCGTTTGCACGGGCAGAGAAGCTATATCGTCGGGTTGCGCGGTAGCGTAGATGGGGGAGTATGATGGTGCAGTTGAGGTAGCTGCCGCGGTGGTGGGAGGTTGCGATGAGTTGTCAGCGACACCTTCTGGCTCCGGCCCTCGGGATGACGTTCTCTTAGGGGAATCCCCGTCCAAGTTTGAAATTTGGTCCATGTTGTGAATGCGATCGAGCCCTGTGAAGTTGTAGTTCGAGGTGTTGAAGGAGCTGCTCCCAGCTCCAGTACGACATAAACGACGTCACTACATGGGGCGGGTGCACGTGACAGATATCAGGTGACCGAGATCGGAAAATTCTACCAGACAAGGTTACGGAGGCCAAACTACTAGGAGATATTGGAAAGAAAAAGAAAAGCTTTGCAGGCAGTAAAATACAACTGGTACAAGAGGAAATGACACACTTCTTTATGCCCAAGACAAACGTGTCATTCTTGAGGCATATTTCTATCCTCCCCAGTATCGTCCAGCATCCGGTAGTTACACCGGATGACTGGCCAACCCCTTCCCCAGAAGGATTCACACCGACTCAAACAGATTTGACCTTTTTAGTCAAATCGTTTAGCCAGAGCCACCCTTGTACTTCTTTCCGAAGAGCAGGAGCTGAACCTGGTCGTAGATGGACAGGACACCAGCACCAGCAACACCACGGAGGATGTTAGCACCAGCACCCTTGAAGAGGGACTTGACACCCTCACGGGCGACAATCTGGCGGAAAGCATCGGCGGAGGACTTGTACTTGACGGCCTCACCGGAGGTCATCATCATACGACGACGAACGGTGTCAAGAGGGTAAGAAGCGATACCAGCACCAGTGGTGACGGTCCAGCCGAGAAGGAAGGAAGCAAGGAAGTTACCCTCGAGAGGACCAACGAGAACAACGGGCTTGATGGAGTCGTACATGCCGAAGTACAGACCACGGTAGACAACAATACCAGCAACAGAGGGACCGAAACCACGGTAGAGACCGGCAATACCGTCGGAAGCGAGGGTCTTCTTGTAGACGTCGACGAGACCGTTGAACTGACGCTCACCGTTGCCCTTGGCGGACTTGGCGTCGTTGGCGAGACGGGTACGAGCGTAATCCAGAGAGTAAACGAAGAGGAGGGAAGTGGCACCAGCAGCCTGTTCATCTGATTAGTGACTGTCCGTTTTCAAAACACTCGTGTGGATCGGGAATACATACACCACCGGAGGCAAGGTTACCCATCATCCACTTGGCGTATCCATCACGCTCCTTCTTGTAGGCGAACATGGACTTGTAGGTGTCACGGAAAGCGAAGTTGAGGGCCTGGGTAGGGAAGTAACGGATGACGTTGGCAGTGTTACCTCTCCAGAGAGAGACAACACCCTCAGCGGCGGCGGTACGACGGAAGCAGTCGGCGATACCGTTGTACTTGCGGTCGAGACGACCAGCGCGGAGCATCTCATCCTGGTTCTGGATGAGGAGCTTGATACGCTCGATGGGGGCAGCAGCAGTCTTGGAGACAGCAGCGGAAACACCACCCACTGTGGACAGTAGTTAGTATCATTGATACATAGATGGCAGTCGACAATGTGGTGTCGTTGATTGATGGATGAAAGATCGATCATTGGGTGGCGATCGATCCATGGGACCTGGGATTTCACATACTCATGAAGTCGACGACGAAGCCCTGTGAAAATTTTTTATTAGCATTGCGTTCCATCGACAATGAAGCAGATCGACCAGCATTTCGAAACCCCGACCCATTCGACACAAGACAAGCTCATTTTGGCTCATTCAATGCCATTTCGAGTTGGATATCGAAGGGCGCGTGATGCGGAAAACTGGTCGACTGTCGAGCGAAGGGACAGGTAGCAACTTACGGGCATGCCGAAGACCGACTTGTCGGCCTGGTTAACGTCACCGTTGGCCATTTTTACGGCTGTGAGAAACGAAAACTAAACAAAAAAGAGAGGAGAGAGATAGTGCCAGACAAACAGGACACTTCACGGGGGGATGGGGGAAAGAAGAGAAAGAAGAAGGGAAGGGAAGGGAGAAAAAATAGCAAACGGAGGGCTCTTGTAAGCGGGAAGAAGCGAGCGGAGACGCTAGGACTCTCTTGGTCTCTTTCTTTTGGGGGGGGAAGGGAGAAAGGGAAATTTGTTTCGCTGGCCTGAATGTGCAGTCAAAGCAATGGCAGCGGCGGCGAACAGCGGCCACACTAGTCCATTTTGAGAAGGCTATCTGGGTGCCGGTCCGGAGTAGGGAGTTTTGCCATTGTAGGGGAAAAGGGAGAAAAGGGAGGGAGGGAGGAAAGGAGGCGGCGGGTCTACCGGCCACCAAGGAAAAAAAAAAATTCAGAAAAAGTGAAAAAAAACTGGGTCCGGCGCTAATGCTGGCCCAGGCAACCAGAGCCGATATCTCCCGATCGCGCCAGTAACTGTCCCGACCGCTGATATGAGAAGAGGGAAAAGAGGGAAATCTCTCATAGTTGAGTTATTTATGGAGCAGCAGAAGCAATTGTCCCTACGTACTCCGTACTCTTACAAGTATCAATTAATTTTATCCAAGACTAACTATTCAGTTGGATTGAGACCTGTCTACTACCAGAACCTTGTTTAATGAAGACATGACAATTTGTTCTGTCGAATGCCAATGCCCAGAGCCTCAGTTGGAGATTCCATATCGGGACCATCGGCGCCCCCAAAACAACATTAATCCTCCTCATAATAATAACGAAGAGACCGGTCACTTGCTGCCTTAGTGCCTCGTCAGCAATTCCGCCCGTCTTCACCGAACCAACTTTTGTCCGCGTGCAGCAGCAGCAGCAGTCGCAGTAGCAGCAGTAGCAGTAACAGCCGCCGCCGCCGCATAACTAACAACAGTCGAGACGCATATCCCTTCCTCCAACTCCTCCCGGTTACCCGATGGCAAATTTCCTTCCTTTGGATTCTGGTTCCCGGAAAAACTTGTCTTTGCTCGGGCCAAGGAGAAAAATCTGACCTTCCCTTAGTCCTACAGCCTCATCATTAACTACTCGTACTATGTATCTATACGTAGAAGTCTGATTCGTATACTTTCATTTAAGCGCGTGCACCGACTTTCGGCTGTCATCCCGCGTTTTCCCCCGTCATTCGCTCCGTCCGGAGGATACTAAGGCTCGGAGAAGTTGGGCCAGGCCGCCAGAGGCACGGGAGTGAATAATGAGAAGTCTTTTCACTCGGTAATGCGGAGGTGCTAATAGGTTCCAACTTCCAGGACTCGGGGCAGATTTACATCGGTATCGAGTATCTAAATTGCCAACTGTCTGATTCTTACTCAAATTCTACTATCATTGTACCTTTTTCCATCCTTGAGTTAGAGAAATCTGTGCAGAGTCTTCCGGATCCGTCGCATATCAAATAGTCCTCCGTAGGGTTGCTTATCGCTGCCTCCCATGCGCCTAGGGAAAGATACGGGTTCAACTACGAAGTTAAAAACAGAAGAAACAATGTCCAGTTGGGTCCACATCAATGAATACTAGACCCCCTGCTCTGTCGCCATGATGATATCCACTTTTTCGCCTCTTCTACTGAGTATCGGACACTCCAGTGTACCAGATTGTGCCCTCACGCAGGGGCCCACAGGGCCTGAGAGTCTGCTGCGTCGGGATGATAACCTAACCCAGTCTGGGAAGTCGATGTACACGACTCACCCTAAAGAAGTTCAATCACACTCAGCCAGGTACATTTAAAGAGCTTAATTCTCATTGTCCTGAGCGCTCGAGATCTTGTATACATAGACCAATTTGAAGACATCTCCAATTGTGCATTCAATCCCCTGTTGCAGCCCTAGCTGAGTAAAACGGTACCTAGATCATATAAAGCCACCTTGAAGCTTGTCCAATGCAATGTTTACAGCATATGCAACGAAGTAGGTATATCTTGCATCTAAAATCTATCAAAACACGGATGTATCGCTAAGAACTTTTCTGAACTGAAACCATTCAAGACAAGACAACGATCTTGTAATGACATACATGCTCAAGACTGTAGCTCGGTTGAAGCATTTAGTGCTTCTTCGACCTCTTTCTCTTCTTCTTCCTGGGCTCACCATCGCGGATATCAACCTTGCCCACATCTTCCTTGTCTGCCGTAGGGGCCTTGGGAGCCTCATCGGAGATTCTGGGGCCTTCTTCATCACCGAAGGTGTCCTTGCGCCATTGCCTAAGGCGAGCCTTCTTGCCCAACTTCCTTTGGTCCTTGTATTTCTTCTCCGGGTCACGGAATGACGCAAGTTTCTTCAGGCCTGCAAACTGGTTAAGTTGGTTGTCATCGGCCATGAGAATATCCCGAGAAGTAAGCCCAAAGCTTTGAGGCGAGGTCTCGCGGTAACGGAATCCGGTTGCGTTCTTCTTGGTAGCTCCAGGAAGCAAGCTGATATCCAGGTCCAGATTGCGGTCCACGGCTTCCTCAATACGCATGCGATCCTTGCGGGATTCGCGCTTTTGATCTCTCCTCTCCTGCGCCTTGCTCTTCTGCTTCTCTCCCTCCTGCTCATCCGCCATTTCAACGTCCGAATCGGCCACGGCGGGCACCTCTTCCTCCTCCTCAAAATCTGGCACGAGATCCTTGATATCAATATCATCGTCCCATGTGGGCTTCTTGGGGTGCTTCTTGCCATCGGGGCCAGTTTCGGCATAGTAATCCTCGCCGAACCGTTTCTGCATTTCGGCCTCCCAATCCTTGTCATCCCAAGCATCGTCCAAGAAGCGGACCCAATCTTCATCCGTCAACTCAGTTCCATGGATGCCGGCAACCTCCTTGATCTTCTCTACCTTCTCCTGCAGTTCTTCCATCTTCAGCTTGCGAAGTCGGTTCTTCTCAATCTCACGCTGTTTCTTTTCCTGCTCTTTCTGCTCTCGCTCCGCATCTCTGCGCTTCTTCCTCATGCTCTTTTCCTCTCTGCGGACAGACTGCTGGTTGGTAGCGTCACGAGAATGCGTCATGAGAGTAGCGTTCATCTTGCTGGGATCCTCAAAGCGGAAATTGTACGCCTCCTCGAATGCTTCCGCCCGCTCGTCCTCTTCCTCATCGTCGGACTCGAATGGCTGCAGCTCCGATCTGCCAGCCGGAATCCATGCCCTTGCTGACAAAAAGTTAGACAAGAACGTCTCCGGATCCTTGTCCGCATTCTCAACGTCCAGGTTTGCATCAGTCTTAGCTTCGGGGAAAGACTCGGGCTTGGATTTAGCGACAAGAAAGTCGTCTTCCTCGTCCTTCTCGGACGCATCTTCGTCACCAACAGCAGCGTGCATCTCCTTGACAATGGCGTTCTTCAGGTCGGCCTGCTCTTGGGCATAGGTTTTAGGAGCACTGCTCGTGTCTTCCTCGTCGGCCAAGTTGGCGCCGCTGAGTAAATTCTCTCGGTGATAATCGCGCAGGGTCATTGGCTTCTCCTTCTTCTCTGTGTTCTGTGGTTGCTCCTCGTCGAGTTTAGTGAAGAACTTGGCATTCGGGTCGTACACGCGAGGGTCTTTGGATCGGATCGCCTTGATAGTGTCCATGATTTCAACATCCACAGCCTCAGTAGCCAGCTCTCCGAAATCGTCCTCTTCTTCATCCGATGATGACTCTTCATCGGAATCCTCATCTTCCCCGTCACGATCACGACGTTTGCCAAGTACCGAAGACTTGCCTAGCTTTGACTCCACTACAGTGATCCAGAGGTTAGTCCAATCGTTGAAAGAATCGAGATACTGGAGTGGCCTTACGTTGCTGCATCTCTTCTCTCTTCTTATTATGCTCAAAGCGACGAGCGTAGTCCTCATTGATCTTGAAAACGACATCCTCGTTGCTGATAGGAACGCCACCAGATTCATCTTCCGAGTCGCTGGAGCTGTCATCCAGCAACTTGCGCGACTTCTTAGACGGAGGCGCCATTTTGTCTCAGGAAGAAAATCTGCAAGTGACTTGAATCCTGGAATGTTGCTCTGAGAATAGGATTGAATGATTTCTCCGCCGCAGGGGAAAAAAAAGGCGGTTGCCGGCAGAAAAAAAAGGCTCCACACTGACCGCCCTCTTGAACCCATCGACCCCGTGCTGCCTGATTAACCAGGCTGCGGGACAAAGACACTGACGTAGCCAATTAAATCATGCGCGGTCCTGTATCCGCCTAGATGGTCAGAGGCACTCGATCTCCTAAAGCTCCTCCCCTCCACTGCGACATAACCCCCTCCTATCCCTTGCTGCTATTCTCCTCGTTTTTTGGATGCTGCTTACTTGACTTGATACCCATGGTAACTTGGGATCGAATCTCTGTCAATTCTCCACGTTATTCTCGCTCGCATCGGTGTATGGCTGGTGACATACACTAGATGTCGACTCAGCCGCAGATCCCATTACCCCAGGTTGGGAAGCTTGTCAGTGTGGTGTGAGTATTCGACGCTCTGCCATTCCAGCCAATGCGCTTCAAAGCTCAAAAATGTGTATCATCTAACTTTTTCTCTTTCTCTTCAAGTCCGGTCGGCTTAAAGGAGGCTGCACTCGACTCCCCCACGTTTCGTGCCGCCGCTCTTCACTTCTCCGACCAGATCGAATTCCTCGAGAGATGGCTCGATGGCTATGCGAAAGCCACCTCCAAGCTCGCCACAGAACTTGCGGCAATAGAAGGCGCCGTTAGCGTCTTTCTGTCCTACTCCACGAATCCGTTAATGGTCTCCGAAGCCGTCTTGGACCATGATTACACTCTACAGTCGATGCGGAGATGTGGTGACAGCTCAAAGGACATATGGAATGGATTAGTGTCTACTGTCAAAAAGCTGGAATCTTTCGTCTCTGAACCCATAAGAGCATTCATTCAGGAGGACCTGCGGAACTTCAAGGTAATAAATATGGGGCTCTTTAAATTAAGGATCGGTTTCTGACCCCGCTCAAGGAGAACCGTCGCACGCTCGGCGAGACACAGAAACAGTACGACTACTTGCTGGCCCGGTATTCGTCACAGTCCAAGTCCAAAGAGCCCTCGGCGCTACGGGAAGATGCCTTCCAGCTTCATGAAGCCCGCAAAGCCTATCTCAAAGCATCGATGGATTTCTCAATTCAAGCACCTCAGCTGCGGAACGCGCTTGACAGGTTGTTGGTTCGCGTCTCCTTTGATCAGTGGCGAGAGCTTAAGACCTTCCATACCAACAATGGTAGCTCATTCGCAAAGTGGGCTCACGAAATGGACCGCATTAAGGGCTGGGTGCACGAAATGGATGGAAATGAGAAGTCTGCCAAGCGGGAGCTTCTGGCTTCTAGGAAGCAGATCGAGGAGGCTGCAGAAATCGCAGCTAGACCGTCTCGTGAGTTAGATGATTACTCTGTATCCACAGTCCCATACCTTGGCTCGCGTCCTCTGTCGATAAATAGCATGTCGAAAGAGGCAAGACCTGAGAAGCAAGGGTGGTTATATCTTCGAACTCTCTCGGGTAAACCTACACGCACTGTCTGGGTTAGGCGCTGGTCCTTTCTGAAACACGGTATCTTTGGCTGTCTCGTCCAGGGCACTCGCACCGGTGGTGTTGAGGAGAGCGAACGTATTGGTGTCCTACTCTGCAGTATTCGACCGGCTTTTCAAGAAGACCGGAGGTTCTGTTTCGAGGTCAAGACGAAGAGTAACACCATTATGCTCCAGGCCGAGACACAGAAAGACCTGATGGATTGGATTGCCGCCTTTGAGGCTGCTAAGCGCAAGGCTCTTGAAAACCCATCGAGCACCGACCTCTCTGTGTCCGGCAAAGTCACTGTTCAGGACCCTGCTTTTGCAATTTCTCAACCCCCAGCGCCAGAATTTGCCGCTGATCCTGCCGACTCTCTCACGCCTCATACAAGCGATGAGCAGGGCTCGTCCGATCGCAGTGGGATGCTCTCGCTGCCAGACAAGGATCCGTCTGCTCTTCGCAACAGTAGCGACTTTAGCAGCTACCGGAGGTTAACGACACTGGACTCTGACAGCCCTGCCCGCGAACACACTTCACGTCTCATGCAGAAGCTGGATCTTCATCGCAAATCAAATAATAATACAGTGCAGTCCTCGCAATCTATCCCCGGAGTCGCAGGCGGGATTGCTAGTCTCATCACCGCAAGTCATAGTGCTATTGCTTCTGGAAGTACTCTACCCGTTGACCCCGATGGGACAAGATCCCGTAGCTCGACTCTTGGTAATGATTCTTCCACAACCCTTGCCCCGATGACGTTGGCCAACCCCCCGGCTCCGACCAATATGAGCAAGGCTGCTGTGTTCGTGAGCAATGAACGTGGTATAGGACTCGGTCAAATCGACAAGACAGGTGGAATGCCCAGCGGCATGATGGCGAACTTGTGGGGTAGCTCCAATTGGGGCTTCTTGAACAGGTTTGAGCCTGAGCGACTGGGACTGCCGGCCGATCAGGACCCGGACAAGCCACCTGCTCAAACGAAAGATCCCTCCAAACAATTTCTGATCGCAGAAGCCGACACTTCTGGTGGATCTGTCACGCCTAAACCACAGAAGACCGGGTCGCGCCATAGGCCGACGGTGAGTTTGGACGGCGACTCGTCTAAAATACAGCAAGCGCTCATGGGTGATTCGCACGACTACCCTAGCTTCTATCCACCGCAGCTTAAAATTCACGATGCCCAATTCCGACTGCTTTTCCCCGATATCAAGAAGGATGAGCCTTTGGTTATGGTGTTCCGGGCCACATGGAGCCCGAACGACCAGCAAGATTTCCCTGGGAGGGCTTTTGTCACAACGCAAAATATCTATTTCTACAGCCACCACTTCGGTCTGGTACTGACGACAAGCATATCTCTGGAAAGTATTAAAGAGATCACTGCTGCTACTGGTAGAGATTGTGACTTTTTGTTTGTACATTTGATACCTCTTCCTGGCGACGACACACCAGGTCGTGGAACGATTAAAACCTTCCTGGAGCCACTAAGACTCCTTCAGAGGCGACTCAACTTCCTTATACACAATATGGCGGCTGCCGAACCTCTGGGACTGGAAGCCATATTCAAGACTTTGATCAGAATGGAGACAGAGGCAATGACACGGACACCAAGCTTGGATAGCTGGGAGGACGTGGACACTGGGGGTGACAAGAACGACCTCAGTGATGCGCCGACAGGAGGCTCTAAGAAAGACTCTCGCTTACCTATTTACATTGACAATGACCTCAACATGCACAAAAAGCACGGCAATGGCAAGGACATTCCCAAGTTCCGACTTCCCACTCAGCCTGTTCAGTATGTTCCTCAGGGGAATCTTCACTTGGCTGCAGAGAAGGTGTTCGACATCAGTCCTAAAGCAGTGTTCCACATCCTTTTCGGGGATAAGAATGCCGTATGGCAGCTGCTTCTGCATCAACGAAATGCTCAGGGTAAGTTATAGCCGGGTCCAGTCCGACGCTTGCTAAGATCGTCACAGGTATCAAACAAGGGCCCTGGACCAGACACGAGTCCAATCATCTAAGGCGGGACTTCAACTACTCAATTGAGACCACCGATATTCTGGGTAAGTATTTTGGCTCCCTTGGACGGGTTACGCCTGGTCTGACAATCAGTAGGGGCCAAGCATAGCCAAACCATCTCAGATTACCAAATGATCGATGTTCTCAATGACCACCTTTGTTACGTCATCACGGACAAACGCACTCCCTGGCACCTCCCATTCAAGCGTTCCTTTAGGTTGGTCAGCAAGGTTGTGATTACCTTTGTCGCTAAGGGCAAGAGCAAACTCTCTATCTACACGAAAGTGGAATGGCTATGGTCTCCGTATGGCCTGCAGAGTGAGTTACTGTATTCTGCTGGGAACATACAAGGCACCGCTAATCATCTCAGGCATCGTGGATAAGAGTGCAAGCAGTGACTTGGAACAAGACGCGCTAGACCTTGTCGACCTCGTAGGTGACCAGGTTCGCAGACTAGGCGCACATAGTCGAACGAAAAAGGCCATCACGATCTTCGGCCATGTCGGGCGTCAGAATTTTGCCTCGCAGTTCTCACCTTCCGGGGACTTGAAGCTGGAATCACGCAGACCTCGCGTCCAGAGAAATATGGCTCACCTTTTGTTCGAGACGTTCTTATCCTTCCTGGAGAGTGCCGTGTCATCCCTCCTCATGTGGACCGGTGCTTTCCTACGCTGGTCATGGAAGACCACCAATGCGCACACAGTCATCTTGTCCCTACTATTGGCGAGCGTGCTGATAAATGGATTCTATTCGTCACGAGTTGTTCATGATTGGTGGGATGACAGGAGTGTTGGAAACTTCATGGCCCGCATTGGAGTCGGTCCCGATAATGTGATGAGTAGAGCTATCTATATGAGGGATATCGACGAGGCCATTGCGAATATAACCGTCGGGCGCGGAAGCGGCAACGTAAGTGACTGCTTTGCGACGTTCCATCAACAGACCTTGCGCGAGCCAGGGACGGCCTTGTCTTTGGGGTCGGCTGGTTTTAGAGACTCCATGACCAAGAGCGCAGCTCGCAGGATCCAACAGACCCGTGAACGGCTGGCTACATACCGACACAACCTCCTAGTGGCTCTTCGAGTGGTCAATAGCATCGAACGAGAAGTCATCCAGAATGAGTGGGAGCGGTGGCTTCGACAGGAACTACGCCGTTGTCGCCAGGTCGGGATCCTCCTCGGCCAGAATGATGACCTTGATGATGCCGAAATGGAGGGGGAGCGGACCAACTCGAATGCGTTCGCCAACCTGAGTGGCGATGTCAAGCAATGGTACGGCATGTACTGCTCCAGTTGCCAGGCCGAACGGTCACATATCGAAGACGATCATGCTTTCGGTGAGCTTTAGACATTCATGGCCGGTCTTGCTTGCGTGGTGCCAATTCTCTTCTTTCATGTGCCCTTCTTTCGTCCCAAGCTGAAACAATACCCGACAATGCGAGGCGATCTGTTTTATATCAATTGTATCTCTCCAGAAGCACGGTTGTATCTTTGTTGCCGTTCTCAGCGCATGTATATAACTTTGGTCGGGTTTGGGCTGTAATAGTATAAATTGGACGAGACTCTGCTGTGCTGTGCAAACCGGTGATAGACCGTTTCCTGTCCCCGTCGTCGTCGTCCTTCCTCTTTTCTTCGTTTGTCCAGCCAGCTGCAAACCCCAAAGCCATGCATGGGCCCCCTTCTCTCCAACTAGCAAGCAGAGAACAAGAACGAGAACGGTATCAATTCTGTCTCGGCTTCACTGCACCATCCTGCACGACATAATAGACCACCGTACTATCCCCACCCATCTGCCTATCCACCATAGCGAGAAGCATCCTCTTCCCACCCCACTCCCTAGTGGCACGGGCCTGTTTCCGATACTGGTAATATTCCTTCAACTTGTCCGCCTTGCTTCTGCCGCTACCATTATTGCTGCCGTTATCATCCTCGCCCACCACCTCCTCCTCATCCTCAACTTCACCCCCCAAATCCCCAGGATCCTCCACCTCCGGCAGCGCATCAAACACCCCGGCCAACCGCCGGAGACTCCACGTGTGGCCCTGCACGGTGGGGATGACGAACATTCGTTCGAGCTCGAGGTCCTCCTCGCGGAGCCCGCGTTCGAGGAGGTAGAATTGCTCGTCCGGGTGGGTGTAGAGGCGGTGCGGGGGGATTCCCGAGATGAGGTTGATTTTGTCGGTGTTGTATTCGGGGGATGCCGCGGCAGTAGGGACAGTGGATGGGAGTTCGTGGATTTGGAGGGAGGTCCAGAGGTGTTGGTGTTGGAGGTTGTGGAGGACTTGGAGGGTGAGGGCGGAGGTTTTGGGGTTGAGGTTCAGGTTCAGGTTGGGATTTGGGGTTGTGGTGGGGTTTGAGGATGATGGTGATGTTGGTGTTGGTGTTGCGTAGGAGGTGATGAGGGTTGTTAGGGCGGAGGGGGTGGTTGTTGAGGTCATGGTTGTATGTGTCTGTCTGTCGTGCTTGGTTGCGCGCGGTTGTCAATGGAGGAGTGTAGAGATCGCAGGGTGGGAGGTGATACGGTGATTGTTGGAGGTGAAGTTTGTGTGGTGCGTGTGACGAGATTGGGTCTATTGGATGGTTAGGATCAATTGTAGTGAATGCGCGACAATTGCTTCCAAGCTCAATCTGTACCTATACAAAGTGGAGGATCGGACTAAAAAGTTGGAGAAGGAAATCCCCCTCGGGCGGGGCGGAAAAAAGGGCGATGGATTCGCGCCGGCCCAAGTTCCGCGGCGCGTTTTTGGGAACGGACGGGGAGAACAGCTGCAGGAAAGAACAGAACACATGGCATCATCTGAAACACATTTCTATAAAGTTATTTCGAGACCCCATTCACTCTCTTTTTTTCCCTTGCTTTCGAGTCACTCATTTGAAGTTGTTCTTGTCTCCCAGTATTTATGCGACCTGGTGGAGATTATTTTGTTTCTGATTCAATACTCTGTTGATCCTATTGTCACAGTCCTTCCACAACTTCGTTGATTGCATTGGTTTCAAGATACCAGAGACCAGTTGCGCTCGCTTCCTCTGCCAATGGCACGTCAAAAACAAACAGCACCCTTACAACGGGCCACTTCTTCCCAACTCATGCATGTGCCGCCGAATGAAACGAGTGCACAGTCACTCAAGCAGCAGAATGGAGGTGCTGTCGCAAATAATCATGTCTCTGAAGTGAAGGATGCGACGCAAGATACCCCTGGATTGATGCAGCTTGCTGTCTGCGTTCTGGGAATCTATGCTTCTTTGTATGTGTCTTGGATGATTCTTGACTCTGCGCATTATAAGGAAAACTAAAGCTGACTGCTGCACACCAGTCTGTCATGGGGTGTCCTCCAAGAAGCCATCACCACCGTCTCCTATCCGGTTCAACCTCCGAGCGCTGAGTTGCCCGAACCGCCCACCGAGCGCTTCACATACTCGATTGTCCTGAACACGATCCAATCCACCTTTGCCGCCATCACCGGTTTCCTCTACCTCTTCTTCTCGACTCCGTCCGGACAGAAGGTCCCCTCCATCTTCCCCACGCGGAAGATCCTCTTCCCCTTGCTCCTGGTCAGCATCTCCTCGTCGCTCGCATCCCCCTTCGGATATGCCAGTCTCGCGCACATCGACTACCTCACCTTCATCCTCGCCAAGTCGTGCAAACTGCTCCCGGTCATGTTCCTCCACCTGACCATCTTCCGCAAGCGCTACCCGCTCTACAAGTACGGCGTGGTCCTTCTGGTCACGCTCGGCGTCGCGACCTTCACGCTGCACCACCCGGGCACGAGCAAGAAGGTGGCCGCCTCTGCGGCCAAGGGCCAGTCCGGCTCCAGCGCTTGGGGGATTTTCCTGTTATCGATCAACCTGCTGCTGGACGGCCTCACCAACACCACCCAGGACCACGTCTTCACCTCGCCGCAGACCTACACCCGGTTCACAGGCCCGCAGATGATGGTCGCGCAGAACGTGCTCTCGACGCTCCTGACCAGCAGCTACCTACTGGTGATGCCCCATCTGTCGGCGACGGGCCTCCTGCATAACCTCCTGCCGTTCCCGATCCCGCCGTCCACGGAGACGGAGCTGACGGCCGCGATCGGGTTCCTGTCGCGCCATCCGGAGGCGCTGAAGAACGTGCTCGGGTTCGCGGCGTGCGGGGCGGTCGGGCAGCTGTTCATCTTCTACACGCTCTCGCGTTTCTCGTCGCTGTTGCTGGTGACGGTGACGGTGACGCGCAAGATGCTGACGATGCTGCTGAGCGTGTTCTGGTTCGGGCACTCGCTGTCGGCGGGACAGTGGCTAGGGGTGCTGTTGGTGTTTGGCGGCGTCGGCGCCGAGGCGGTTGTGCAGCGACAGGAGAAGAAGACCAAGGAGAAGGCGCGAGCTGCCGCTGCGGCCACAAAGAAGGAGTAGTCACAAGCATCCTGTTCGAAAGGGGTGTCCATCCGCCATCAAAGTTCCCATTTCACAATTGTACATATCAAGTTAGAAATTATCATCTCCATAGACCTATGCTTGCAGTCCATCACTCAGCATATCATCACCGCAGTGGTATCAAAACCTTCCCCTCATCTTATTATCAATCAAGGACATCTTCCTTATTCAAACCAACCACATAAAATCTACTTCCTCCCCTCAACCATAATAATATGATACCCAAACCCCGTCTTCACCTCCACATACTTGGGATTCGCCGTGGTACTCGGCTCCAGCTCGTACGCCGCCTTCTCAAAGTCCCCATTCAAGCTCCCGCGGACCTTCCATCCAAGGGATCCACCTTTTGTGTTGAGAATGTGTCAATACAAAGAGGATCAGATCCATTCACATTCAGAGAAAGAGAAACATACCTTGCCGCGCCTTATCCTCCGACATCTCCCTCGCGACCTCATCGAACTTGGCCCCGTTGCGGAGTTTCTCTAGCGCTTCTTCTTTCTTGGAGTGTTTCTCGCACTGTTGAGAGATATTAGGGTTAGTATGCTGGGTAGGGGGTTTCAGGTGGCATGAATATCTCTCGTCTCTTTCTGATAAGAAAGCTAGGACGCTGACGCTGAGGAGGAAGGGCAGCCTGGTCGGGATCCCGGCTTATGCGTACATATCCAACTTGAACTTGAAGATAGGGTGTAGGGTGTAGGGTGTGTGTTGGGGGGGGTTAGGGTTATAGCTACTACCCCCTTTGCCCCAGACCCAATAGGCTACAGATAAATAAAGAGTCGATACGTACAAGAATATGCCGCACGTTGATGGCCGTCGCGGGCTTGAGGCCTTTCTTGTCGCCGCCGCTGCTGCTGTCTTTGCCCTTTTTGTCGCCGCCGCTGCCTTTGTTTTTACCCATGGTTGCTTTGAGAATTGAGAGTGGAGCTGATGGAATGTATGATCGGGGGATGTGTATGAAGGATGAGGTAGATTGTTTGTGGTTGTTTGATGAAGATGTTGGAAGTTGAGGTGGTGGTGGTGGTGGGGAAGCAAGGTGAGTATGTGGGGGTTTGGGTGCCTGAGGTTTGATACTGTATGTACTGGATATGAAGGTTGATGGAGGTTCTTGGGGGGGTTCTGGATGTATACGTTAGGTTTAGCCTGGGGTCGTTGGGCTAGTGATATATCGATTATGTATATTGTAATTCGATGTATTTCGGAGATTTATTGGATGTGGACAGGTTGCATATGGCGTATGCTGTAGATATACGTAGCTGGTTCTCCGTACTTGTTCGGGGTCGGTGCGAGGGCCGGTATGTATATGCTCGCATGTAGATGTTTCTATAGAAGTCTATCGACTATCGACGTCGACAGTATACTACGAAAGACAATCCACTATTTAGATCTCAGGAATATCTTACTGACACACAAAACGAGCACATGCAGAAATACGTGGTAGGACTATATCCCATACGACATTACTCTGTCCCCATAAACCACAGACAGTAGCACCAGATCAATATATCCAGCCCCATATGCAAGCTTGGATCGACCAAAATTTAGCCAACACTAATTTAGCATTAATAGAACCCAGAAAGCTCGATTTAGCTTCTTGATCAGTTACTTAACTACATAACATATGGAGTACAATCGAAGTTAGAAATCATGATGTCATCATCCTCCCTGACAAGCCCAGTGAACCAGATCGAGTCATGTTCATTCATGTGAGTCCTTCCATTGTCAATAAGACATCGTGTTCCCACCCCGCCACACAGTCCAAGTCTCATCTATCAAATCACCTGACCCCAGGGGAGAGAGTACTCGTAACCTCGAGTCCATTGTCTCTCAAACAAAGAGACCCAAACTGCAGCCTGCAGCCTCCAGCTGCAGCCTGCCATATCTATTTTACAAGAAAAGCTCACTCCGCCTCTCCGCACTCGGGTTCCCGGTTGACCCCTCATTCGCAGGCTAAAAGTAGTAACAAGGCGAGTACGGGAGTAAATTTAGGAGTCAGCCCCAGAAGGAAAGAGGATTCTAACCAACCACTGACTGCACTTAGGAGGTTGGACGTTTTTTTTTATTTTCGGATACGTCCAAGTCTCTGTATGCATTGAGCTTTTCGTACTCGTACTCGTACAAACGACTGCTCTCATGCAGTGACAGCGTGTCCGAAAGTTGTCAAGTTGTCGAGTTTTGAAACGGAAGGGAAGGTGTCAGGTGGGTGTACTACGAGTACTCTGTACCTGAACCAGATGGGGGAGCTCGAGAGTGCCCGCATCAAGCAATTGCCATCGGATGCCTTCTATATTGCCGACTTCATCTCGGAGGTGGAGGAAGCCCTTTTGCTCCAAAAGGTTTGTTCCTGAATATAGTCACATCTTTAGTCCTTACTTACCTAAGTCATATGGTACGTGTTATGATTTACGATTTTTTCTAGATCGGTACCGCTCCCCTACCGCGCTGGACGCATCTCGCACATCGTCGCCTTCAAACCTGGCCATCTGCTTTGACCAAGACCAACACCCTCATTGCCTCTCCGCTTCCCTCCTGGCTCGTCTCACCCATAGTGACCCCGCGCTTCGATGCCCTCAACATCTTCCAAGATGCCCCGCACGGCGCCCCGAACCATGTCCTGGTGAACGAGTACTGTCCCGGACAAGGGATCATGCCTCATGAAGACGGCGCAGCATATTACCCGCTTGTGGCTACTGTGAGCCTCGGAGCGCCGATTGTGCTGGATCTGTATGACAAGCCCACGGCCGACACTAAAGATGGCTTGGATCGCAAACCAAAATATCGCATCCTGCAAGAGCGACGTAGTCTGCTGGTCACCACGGACAGGATCTACACGGACTTCCTGCATGGGATTGCGGAAACCGACAGGGACGAGCAACTCAGTGCCGATTCCATCTGCAACTGGGGCTTGCTGAGGGAGCCCGAACGGTACGAATGGGGCTGGTCTCAGAGAGGAACTAGGATCAGTCTAACTTATCGTGACGTGCTCAAGGTCGCGAAGCTGGGAAGCACAATGAAATTCTTGAATAGATGATAGTCCGGGTTGCAGACAACTTCGACGTTTAACCTAAAATCAGTATATGCCTGGAATCATATTCCACTTCCCTTGCATTGAACTTCTGCCGAATTTCTGAATATACCATCGTCGGGTGTTGGCCGTTGTCAGGCCAAGGTTGATGGCCACAAAGGCCATAGCCGCCAAAATCGTCTTATTAATGGTTCCCCCCTGCGGAGCGGCTAAGAATGCCAGGGACAAGTAGATGACACACTCTGCCGTATAGTGCGGGCATACAAGCCTGTGGAACAGAGGGTGAGTCGGCAGGGTATACTTCTTTAGGGAGAAGAGATAGTGGTGAGCATCGTGCTGGAGACCGGATGCGAGCAGAAAAATCGGAAGGAAGACGAAGGTGCGGAGTGAAGGGGCTATGGTGACCTTCACATCATCGAGGGCAATTGGGCGGGCCAGAAGCGTGCCTGTGGCATGATCAATGGAACTTTCTCTCTTGTGTTGTGTCATGTGTGGGGGGGTTTGCTGTACCTGCTCCTTCAGCCCAGACCGCAACCGACATCCCCAGGTAGAAAGCAAGGCCTACGAGCCAGTGAATAAACCACATTCGAGACGCGGATGGCCTCGAGAACACGAAGCACTCATACAACCGCCTTACCCCCTGGAGAAGCATGCACACCCAACAAAGCAAAATTTGGTTTATCGTCATGGACCTCTGCAGGTGATCTGGGCTAACCCTCATTGCAAAGGCCTGGAACGCAGCGCCACGGCAAAGGAGCTGCACGCCCCAAAAGACCGAGGCTGCCACGGAAGCGACATAGAATTGCGTGAAGTAGCTGTGAGGGACTCTCAGGGAGGCAAGGTAGTCGAGGATGCGTGTTGTTGCTGGGGATGACGAGGGTGAGGAGGAGGAAGTTGTGGACGCTGGGGCAGAGGGGGGCTTCGAGTCGGTTGATGTTGCACGAGCGCCATAAATAACGAAGCGCGAGTGCAACGAGTCCGGCAACAAGCTGACCGACAGAATCTAAGGTTTCTCAATTTAGTTCATTCTCAACAGACCGTGTCCAGAGCGTGCAGCATCGTCTCCGACTGTTGTCTGCCTCGGCTTCTCGGATGCTTCGGCTGATCATACCGTACAAGATGCGAGGATGAAGAAGGCTCGAAGGGCATCGATAGCGTCCATGTGCGTTGAGGCAAGTGCTGTATCCACCAGACCGGCGAGCATGTCCATTGCGACCGATTACTATGTAGTTGTATTGAGTGCGTGTCCGCCACTGACGCGACGCAGGAAGAATGACTGTGGGTGGGGAGTACGGAGTAAGAAGAGGCTCGGCCGACAAGAATAAGATCAAGGATAAGAAGGACGATAAACAATAACAAACAGGGTTCGAGTCCAGTCTAGAGCCGATCTGGCTGGTGAGTGGTGTGTTTGGATTTCAGTCTTGGTTCCAAGTTACTAACTAGGGACTGAATTGGGGGAAAATCGGGGACGCGGAGGGGGGCTCTGGTATTATTTATCGTATGTTACCGGATTTACCAGCCTGGTACTACAGTACTTTAAACACTAGAATGTGCCTGTCATGCTGATGCGACACAATCAAAGGTCCAGTGGGGAGAATATAAACACCGAAACTCCACAGCCAAGGAATGAGTGAGATGAGCAGTCGTAAATCATAAATAAGCAAACCCGTCGGACCAGAAAGGATTTCGGCGGTTGTTTGATCCACACTAAGGGTCTCGTGATGTCAAAGGTGAAGAGGGAGAGCATCAAGGGTTGAAAAAAGCGACCTCCTTAGTTACGGGGATTGTACGGCGGATGAAACATGTCGCCCACATTGTCGGTTCTGTAAGGATGTTACAGGATACGGGGGAAGAGATAGCCTGAGGGGGTGTCAACAACAAAGATCTTCTCTCCTACCTCTCCCCCTCCGCCGTCCGCCATCACTGCACCACCAGTCCTCGATCAAAAAGGGTCCTACTCTTCCTGCCAGCATTCTGGGTCCTCAGATGCCGGCTGTTGACGGAGGGGTAAAAAGGGACCCCCTCCTCTATCTTTGATGTCTTGGGTGCTTTAATGGCTCTCACACCCTTTTTTCTCCCCATTGCTGTGTCGACTCTCTTGCTCCTGCACAAGCAAATCCGAATTCCATGGATTGGGTTCAGACTAATAATAAATTGCCTATACAAAGACCAAGCGAGTCATCCAGTGCAGTGAAAGAACAGAAAGGAAGAAAAGAGATAATAATAAACTGGAAAACAAGAGAACAGCAAGAAGTTCAGCCAGTTAGCCAAGTTGTCTGAGATGAGCGGGGCGATAAGCCGGAAGAAAGAGGGACAATGACTGGTCTTGCCAGGAGGAGAAGATCGCTGAAGGACGAAACCTTCTAACCCGCATGCGGCAACCGGCGGGCTACTCGCTGTCAATCATTGGAGGAGCCGAGGGGGGCAAGCCGATGGCTAGCCTGATAGCCTACGCCAGCTTCCAGGGAACTGCCACAAATCCGTCACTCATTCCCACCCTCCGTTCCAGAGCTTGCCCGAGTTTCAGTCGCTGCAACGCCGACCGTCCAAAAAAAGGCTAAAAAATGGAAAAAAGAAAAAGAAAAAGGAAATCAGAAAAAAAAGAATAACCCGTCCAAAAAATGCCAGACAAGGTCGAATGATAGGGAAGAGAAGGGGGAATTAAAAAGGAAAGGATCGAGAAAAAGCAAAAAAAGCAGCAGCAACAGCAGCAGCAGCAGCAGCAGCAACAAGAGGCAAGCAAAGAGAAGGCAAGACGTTTAATCAGGCCAGTCCGCCACCACTGCATCCATGCTTGCTTGATTGCTGTCTGTCTGTCTACTACTACTACTACTGTGAGTACGGAGTACTAGTTACCAACTGTACCCTCATCTCTCTATTAGTTCTCCTTCCAGGCTCCCTTTCTGTTGCTCTTCTGTTGTCTTCTGCTTCTTTGACCGCCCCCCTCCCTCTCTCCTCTCATTCCCCCTCCCCTCTCCCCGCTTTTCTTTGGGCCTTCTCGCAGGCTTGGTCCAAATCGAAGAAAAATGGATGAATGGATGGATGGATGGATGAATGGATGTTGCGGCTGCAGTTGGACTCGTCCGGTCGGTTTCGATCAATCAATGAATGCTACCTTACCTTACCTACTTTTGTCTTACTGTATTCTTGGTGCTGCGACTCTACCTCTGCCTCCGTCTCGTATGTCCGGTACTGTAAATTTTATGGTAACTCTGGCTTCTACGCCGGGAAGATAGTGGTGGGATTCAAGGAGGATCGTGACCTCTTTCTTTCCTTGATCACCCTTTCTCATTCATCCCACTCATTCACTGCACTCTCCCTCCATACCGGTTGTAAGATTACTGATGACTCTCTTCCACTCCGACTCCCCATCTGCCCAAGACTATACCCATAGTCACTTTCGATGGCGGACTGGCAAGCAGCTGCTCCATGCTGCTAATGCTGCTAATGCCGGTGGCCAATCGCAAAACCATCGGTGGTAAGTTAGTATTCTGGGGGCGAGACTGACGAACATCACTGATAATCGGTAATTATCGGTAATCGCTCGTAATTACCTCAATCCAGAATGAGTCAATATTACTACCAGCAATCAGCATCATCGACAATTATTATTAGCATGCTCGCAGTATCGACAGCATCAACATCATCAACATCATCGTCCTCATTGACCATCGCATCCACTTCAAATCAAATTAGCCTCATTTTTACTCTCGATCATATCTGTTATGAGTATGATCTTGAAGGGCGATGACCTAATAGAGGATTGACTGAATCTCAGCTAGTCGCAACCACTCACTGACTAGCCCAACCCGCTAATGACCAGCTAAACTGCTCTCGACGGCGAACTCGTCTTTCTTACCAGTAACCCATTTACCTGCGTAATTTCCCTCCCTCCTCTCTCCCCACCCCCCCCCCCACGCGAACTTCGCCCGCTCCATCTTCTCCCTCTTCTTAACAACTCTCCTCCCAATTAATCCTTTCTCTTCCTTCATCTTCTTTTCTCCCCTCCCCCCCACCTCAATTCGCTCAACTTCTCTTAATCCTCCTTTCGTTCCCCCTATCGACCTCAATCGGACCATCTTCTCCCTTTGCCGACCGTATCAACCCCTCTACGTTCACGTCCTGTCGCCTCGTTCTTCTCTTCATCACCGTCACCACTACCTCGCCTCTATTCCGCTTCGCTCTCTTATTTCGGATTATTAGGTCCACCTTGCTGTTCGCCCACGCTCTTTGTTCGTTCACGATAGTCTCATTTCCTAGAAGAGAGCACCCGACCTACCGAGTTCAAATCAAGCGTGGTCGAGCACCAGCTTTCGCGCGCATCTGCTGGTGTATTTGACCACGGGTCTACCTGTCCGCCACGGCCCCCGAAGATGACGAGCAGAACCCCCAGAAATCGAGTGCTACCGCTATGAGTGATGTCGAGGCTGTCTCCTCCCTGCCAGCTTCCCTGGGTGCCGGACAAAACGGTCTTGCTGCCAAGGTGAACCACCAGTCTACCTCGGGTCCGCTATCTCCCAAGAGAGCCCTCTCACCCGTGCCTCGGAGGGAGTATCGTCCGATCAAAGAGGTAGACCCTGCTGTCGGGGACAGCGATGGGCCCCCTAGCCCCAAGGCTGACTCGGAGGCAGAAACCATAATCCAATCGGGCCGTGAATCATTATCGCCTGAAAAGAGACGGAAGTACATAAAACATGAACCGAAACGACGTGATGAAGGAAATGACCATGTTGATGCGGCAGAGAGCGATCTCCCTCCCAACGATTTGCAAGTGAGAAAGAGAAAGTTGGTGGATGGCGACGTTGTCAGTGAACGCGACCGTCATGTGCGCCCGGCGAGTCCTCTCCGTCGGACGGGGTCTCCACCCCATGTGAAAGTCGAAAAGACCGATGAGCCCCAATCTGTCTCGAGTCGACTTGAATCATCGCACCCTGCATCTTTTGTTCCTAGGACGTCGAGAAAACGCAGCTTTAGTGAAAGTGTCGATGGGGAGGGAGATGTCCGTCGAAACGCTCGCCCGCACCACCCAGCTCCTTCCCGGGATCGAGAACGACGAGAGTTGAATGGTGTGCTGTTGCCCCGCCCCGCGTCAATCGACCGTTCCATATCACCTGTCCGTTCGCACAAGAGAACAGCTTCTGGTCATCAGCTGGGTAGCGATTTGCAGCGGAAGCGGAAAGCTCCTACCCCGCTTCTTCCTGGCGTGCAAAGGCAAAGTTCCGAAGATCGGCAGTCGGTGTCTTCCTCAACTAGCGGCTCTCCTATGCCCAGTGCTCACATTCGAAAGGTGGCCTCTGTCGATGGGGCATCCGCCTCCCCTGCCAGACCCACGGGTCACAAAAAGCAACGCGATCAGAATGGACGCACGCGCCTCGCTCGTGCATGTGCTGCACAGGAACTTGAGGCGGCAATCGCTCGACATGCAGAACGACCGGAGGACCTCAATGTCGCCGACAATGCTGGTAACACGCCACTTCAAATCGCAGCTTTGGAAGGCTGCGCGTCCATTGTGAAGTTCCTCCTCGAAGCCGGATGTGAAGTCGAGACCCGAAATATCGATCGCGATACTCCGTTGATAGACGCCGTTGAAAATGGCCATCTCGATGTCGTCAAGTTGTTACTCCAGGCTGGTGCAAATCCGCGTTCCGTCAATGCTGAAGGCGATGAGCCGAGCGACCTCATTCCGTCGGACTCGGAAGATTACGATGAGATTCGTCGTGTGTTGGAGGAAGCAAAAGCGCATCCACGCCCAAGCCGTCGCTCTGAGGAACAGACTGGATCTGGCACCAGGGAGACGTCTTCGCGGCGAGTGACGGTGGCTAGCCCTCGAGATTCACCCCCGGTTAATGGACAACGCAGCCCGCCCTACTTTGCCAGTACGAACAAACGCAAGAGCGTCAGAAGTGAGGCTACTCGGAATGATCTGCTATGGACCAAAGCTACGCCAGAGAATTTACAAGCCTTCGCCGCCAAGGGTGATATTGCTGGTGTTGCTAACATTCTCAATGTTGGCCAACGGGCTGATGCTGAGTCGATGATCGCAGCGGCCAAGGGTGGTCACGATGAAGTCTTGTCTCTCCTGCTGGGAATGGGAGATGCGGATCCGGACCCGGATCCAGTCCAGGGCGGCTCCCACAAGTTTGGATACAACACGCCCATGCTGGCTGCGATCGGGAGAGGCAATCTTCCCGTGATAAAACTCCTGCTGGA